GTTGAAGAGGGCTTGAGATAACATGAGAAAAGAGACTTGAAGGAGAGACTATGAGGAAAAGATAGAAGCATCATGAGGGAGGCCCGGGTCTAGGCAGGGGTGATACTAGACTGCAGTCATGACATTTATATAAACTAACCAGAATGGATTTCTGAAAACACCTAATCTCTGTTTTATATTCATTCTTTTTTTTTTTTTAATCCCAAACTTACTTATTAGTGGTTCATCTATAACTCCTTTCTGTGACTCTTCCCTAATAATTCTAAGATGCTGGAGAGCTGCTTTATGATAAAACAATGAGAAAAGGAAGAGGGAGTGTTGTAAAGTGAAAGAGTTAAGACACGGCACTACATTTTGGGACTTTGCTTAGATCTTGATTCATACAACCAACTCAAACGACATTTTGGGGACAGCTGGTATAATTTGAATGTGGACTGGATACTAGTTTATAGTAAGATATTATTATAAATATAGATGAGATATGGCATTGTGGTTATGCTATTTTTTAAATTAGATTTTATCCATTAGAGATGCCCACCGAAGTATTTATGGGTAAAATGTAATAAAATATTTAAAACATTTCAGGAAAAAGAGTGGAAGGGAACAGAATATAGATGTAACCGTATTGATAAAATATTGATCATAATTGAAGCTAAGTGATGAAGAGAGGGTTTATTATTTTCGTCTTTCTACTTTCTGCATATAATTCAAAATTTCCATAACAAAATGTTTAAAAAGACTAAATATAAAAGTAGCACATACTTAACATAGAGAACTTGGAAAAAAAGACACAAAACTCCAAGAAAAAATGAACATGACATCACCAGCTGGACATATCTACTGTTAACATTTATATTCTTCTAGTCTTTTGCCCTTTTATAAATAAGCACATACATGTTAATAAAAAAAACACACAAGTCATTCACTATCTAAATCTAAATTTTCTATCCTTTTAGTATATAATAACTGAATCCTCACCATCATTTTGGTGGTTTCATTGCAGTTCAGCATATAGATGATCACAATTTATGTAACTATTTCACCATTTGGGGGCTTCTACATTGCTCTTTTCCCCCCACCAGTATAAAATGAGCATCCCTGTTGGTAAATGTTTGTTCACATCCATATTTGGAGTTCTTTAGGAAATGGAAATGGAACCCTAGGGTCAAGGGTATATACAGTGTACAATTTACTAGACATTGCAAGTGACCCTGCAGAAGATGGTACCATTTGGATCTGCACCAGCAGTCCGTGGAAATGCATGTTTTCCTGCACTTGCAAAGCCAGAGACAGACTGGTTCAGAGGGTAATGTACACACCCAGTGATGGTGAAGTCATTGCCTAACAGCATCTCTCATTCTTATGCCGATGCCTTATTGCTGGGTGCAGTGGGGTAAGGAGGGGAGAACCGAAGTGGGAGTCTGCATAGTCTCATAAACGTTCGAATCCGTGAGGAGGCTGTGTGTTTCTGGAGAGTGCCAGTGCCTCTGGTCCTGCCGGGATCCTTGATCTGGTCCAGAAGCCAGAGCTTCGTATCAATAGCATGTACTAGTATTTTGTCAATTACTCGTCAGCTTTTACCATGTCACATCTCTTGAACATCTGCATAGATGTGTGGCCTACATTTTCACGTGGTAATGTTAATCTGTGCATCCTCCTAGGTAAGATCAGCAAGAGGACTCCTGCATAATCTGTATGCCACTTTACCTTCTGGCTCTGAGCTTTGTTGCAGCTCCTTCCCGTTTATCTTGGCATTCTGGTTTGATGATCAGTCTTGTTTATTGCAAAATCTGTAGTGTTTACATTTTGAGGCTTTCATACCACAGTTGTTTACAAGTTACGCAGGAACTGCCAATTTGGGTTGATGTCGATGTTTCTATTCTACTTTTCATATTCCTGCCCACTCCACTCCATCAGCTGGGAGAGGCTGAGGCGGTCAGAGGACAGGATTCCGAAGCCAGTTTTTTGTCTAAGAGGCCCTGACTCAGAGCCTTTCTTTCGAGTCTTGGTTCAAGCATAGCACTTAATGCAGTCAAGCCAAACAGACAGTCAGCAGAGCAGCAAATCACCAATGAACCGAGAAAGTAATAAATTGTTACACAAATTACCCCCTTTAATGTGGAAAATATAGTACGAAAAAAACAGTAAATGAATCTCACTCTTCTCTTTAGGGAAATTAGGTCCTAATGAAAACACCCTTGAACATAACCTCGTCTTTGTGTTATTTTGTATTAATCACACTTGCAACAGTTTGATACACAGCCCTGAAGAGTATCTGAAATCTGCCACCTTCTCCGATAGACAAACACAATTGAGTGAGTCGTAGCGGGTTTCCCATCCACAGGAACCTTTCTGTAAGAGCGAGAGAAGTGACTGTAAGTTTTCCTGGGCAAAACTTAAAGCAGAAAGTATAGGAACCCCCGAATTAGAGAGCTAATACTCAGGAGATACTTATTTTAGTAATCATTCATTAAATGTAGTTAATGTTGTTGTTTTTTTCTTTTTAAAATGTAAATTTGCCTAAAGGTCTCCTCCTGTGCTTGTCCAGAACCCTCCCCATCCCCTGGTTTTGAGCCCTCCCTGTGCGCCTGGCTGGCCACTATAGGATCACTGGGACTGATGTGTGCGTGACCCACGTGTCACAAATGGCGTGAGGCACCTTTTCTACTTCATTTACATCTCAAAGTAATCTAAGTGGTGCCGAGGTCTACTGAAATGTACCATCTGCATTTTAAGGAAAGAGATCATGGGTTTGAAAAGTGGAGTGGCCCTAACTGGTTTGGCTCAGTGGATAAAGCGTCAGCCAGCGGACTCAAGGGTCCCAGGTTCGATTTCAGTCAATGGCATGTACCTTGGTTGCAGGCACATCCCCAGTAGGGGGTGTGCAGGAGGCAGCTGATCGAAGTCTCTCTCTCATCGATGTTTCTAACTCTCTATCCCTCTCCCTTCCTCTCTGTTAAAAATCAGTAAAATATATTTTTTAAAAAAGCAAAAGAAAAAAGAAAAGTGGAGTGACTTGCCTGGGACCTCAAAGTGAAGTGGCAGCCGTGGCCTCAGGCTGGGGTGCTGGTCACTCTGGAGGGGAGCTGGTTGGACGATGAAAGTTTTGGGTCTAGTGGTTTGTGTCACATTTGTGGTCAGCAGCACTGATGGTTTGGGGAGATGGCCTGTGTTAGTCTTCGATGTTTCAGCCATAATTAGAGGGGCCTCCCCTTGCTCGGTAAAGCTAGATTTGGATTCTTTTTTGCTGCAGCCAAGAAAGAACAAATAAGCTAAAAAAGTGTAGGTGCCTCTCTTATTCCTCCCTATGTCCAAGGGTTGTCTTAACAAAGTACCAAAAACTGGGTGACTTAGAACAGAAATGTGTTCATTACAGTCTAGAGGCCAGAGAATAAAATCAGGGTGCTGGCAGGGCTGGCTCCTGTGAGGCCGGGAGCGGTGATGTGTCTGCCTCTCCGCAGTGGGGTTTGCTGGCAGTCTTGCCCTCACGGCTTGTAGATGATCACTCTGCTCTCTGCCTTCATCCTCTCAAGGCGTCCTCCCTGCATGTGTGTGGCTGTGTCCAAATTTCTCCTTTTTATAAGGAACCCAGTCACATTGGGTTAAGACTCATCTTAATTATCTGTAAAGACCCTTTCTATATATCTATCTGTAAAGATCCATCCTATATATCTATCTATATAAATGGCTAATATGCTACTAGTAAGTGTCTGTCCGACCTAGCTATAAAGTACACGGACCACCAGGGGGCAGACGCTCAATGCAGGAGCTGCTAAGCTAGGCAGTTCTCAGGTGATGTACCCCAAAACCAGAGAGAAGGGAGCCTGATTCCTCACAGGACTGGGCGATTCCACCTTTGGCCGTGGCTTTTGTTGTTGCTGGGGCACTGTCAGCCCCAAATCTGGTTTACTGCACACTTGCGTTTGCATCCTACACCCTGTATGACAGCCACTTTGCAGAGTGCCCTCTCGTACTCCGGGACCCCTTGGGGGATAACAGAGAACCTGTTCTACCCTGTCCCTACAGGCCAGGTGGAGGGACCATACCTGCCAGAGGGGACCCTGCTCACTCCACAGATGCCAGGGAGGGACCATGGGAGGTTGGCTCCAGGGCATGTCTGGCCCTTCTATCCCAGTCCTGCCCTGCCGGCCACCTTCTAATTAATTGCTTTTCAATGTGCATGAATCCATGCACCAGGTCACTAGTTTCCAAATAAGGTCACATTCTGAGGTGCTAGGGGTTAGAACTCCAACATATTTTGGGGGGGAACACAGTTCAACCTTTAACACCCCCATTAAACATAGTGCCAAATAGTACTCCCTGCACTCTTGCATTCACCGTGAAGGCAGGATCCCTGTTGTCTAAGTGGTCCAGAACCTCCAGGCAGCTTTCGTGATTTGGGGTCAGATGTCAGGGCTGCCCACCACCAGGCCCTGCCATCCCAAGAGGGAAAGGGGGGGAGGGGAGGAAGAGATTCTGAGCTTTTTATTATTTGGTGCAGAAATTCTGAGCCCTTAGTGACATCCGATAATTGTTTCCTCTTGTTTGAGACACTGCTTCCTCTTATTCTCTCACAACAACAAAGCCGCAAGCATGATTTCTCAACAAAGAGCAGCTCAGAACAGAGATCGTGGTCTTCCCAGGCCCACAGCCAGGCTCTGGGAAGCCCCACACAGCGGTCAGCACACCTCGCCCAGAAACGATAGGCATTGCTCACAGTCTGAGAATTCTGCCTGTTCCCTGTAAGCAGGAAATGCGTCCCCTACCTGTCAGGGAGTATCAGATCCCATGCTGGAGCTTTTCCTAGGGATTTGTAATTCCCGAGGGGGCGTCCTGGGCAACCTCAGAAAAGGGATCTTTCAGATTATCAGGGCCTTTGCCCCAAGTGTTGCAGCCCTTGGGACAGGGATGTGGAAGGGAGTTGGGGGAAGGAAGCGGTAAGAGACAGAACTGTGGCAGCCACCAGGTCTCAATCTCACCCTGCATGTGTCTGTTTGCAGACACCAGTTGGAGACACCAGGACACTATTCCCATCTGGCTGCCTTCTACGAGGACAAGAAAGGGGTGCTCCATGCTGGTCCCGGGAGGGGCGGCAGCCTGCCCCCTGTCTATTGGCTGCCTTCCATCCACCGGTACATGTACCCAGAGATGAAGGTGAGGTCTGCTGTACTCTTACATGTTCTAGGCTTGGGTCTGCATACAGTAGTGCTTAGTTGTGTTTTTAATTAATAAGGAATTTATGTTTTGGGCTCGTGCCCAACATCCACTTTTGATAGAGTAGGATTTCTAACTAGTATTTGGGTTCTTTCAAAATGTAAAGCAAGTTACCTTAAACACTGTGCTTTCTATACCCTTCAAAATCTTTGCACAAAATTGTATTGATAGGCCAGTTCGGGTGGATTCTGGGGGAAAAGATGTGGGTTTGATTCTATTGATTCAGACATTTTCAAGTCATATATTTTTTGTTAGAGTGTTTTGGATATTGCTTTATTGTGTGTTTTTTCCCAAAGTACTTTGCCTTTGTACGAGGGATATATTTGTTTACAGTTAACAAAACATCTGGCCAAGTGTTAGGTGTTGGGAGGGAAAACGATGACTATGAACTTGTGACCCTGTAGGTAGTCACATGGTACATCAGAAACCTTGAGCTTCCTAATAGAGAAATTACATCATGAGTTTAAGTGAGAAATCAGGGAAGGCTTTTTGGAAGAGGAGGTGATCTCTGAAGTGTTTGGATAGGCAGAAAGTGAGGGATGCTGACTTCAAACTGAGGGAAGGCATGGCTAACAATGGCTGCCAAATTAATGGTTTAAAACAGTGTATCTTTATCATCTCACAGTTTCTGTGGGTCAGGAATCAGGCACAGCTTAGCTGGTTAATGATCTCTTGTGAGACCATAGTGAAGGTGTCAGTTAGAGTTTGAATCTCATCTGAAGGCTTGACTAGGGAAGTGTACCCACTTCTGAGCTCACATAGTTGTTGGGAGCATTGAGTTCCTTGAGGGCTTTGGACTGAGGGCCTCCATACCTTACTGACTGAGTGACAGGCTTCTGTGTTTACCATGAAAGGAGAGAAGTCCAGTGGACTGTCCACCAGGAGGCCTTGTGGGTCCTCCTCCTTGTGAGCTCAGAATGCAGGACCACCTGGACAGCACAGAGCAAAGCCTTCAATAGCATCCTTGGAGGCTGAGGGGCTCAGAGGCGGCCAGCAGGCTTCGCAGAGACCTCATTCCGCACAGCAGCTGGGTCCCCATATATTTGGGGACCTAATTTGGGACCCTTTGCTTATCATTTTATACCTTCTAGCACCCAGTAATGTTTGTGAGTCAAATATGCTCGCTGAGGTGTACTGTCACATCAGATACTTCTATTTATGACTTTTAAGAAGTTTTGTTCAGTCCTGTTTTCCCAGCACCTGTCTCTCCTGAGTAAAGTAGTTAATGACCCTTGAAATCAAATTTCAGTATGTCAGGAGAGCTGTTGAGTGATAGGCATCTAATTTAAAGATGGGACTTTGAAAGAGGAAACTATCACTTTATTGGAAGTAACTATCCCTGCATCTGTTGGTTATATTTTGGTGTTTATTTTAGAGGGGTTCACACCCACCTGTATTGAATATTTTTTGTAGGAATATGTCCATTTCTTCTAGGTTGACCAGTTTGTTGGAATAGAGTTATGATTTTTCGTATTTCTGTGGGATCTGTTGTTTTTTTGTCTCTTTCATTTCTGATTTTGTTTGTTTGGGTCCTCTCTCTTTGCTTCTTGGTGAGCTGGCTAGAGGCTCATCGATCTTATTTATCCTTTCAAAGAACCAGCTCTTGGTTTCATTGAATTTTGTATTGGGGTTTTTTTTTTTTTTTTGTCTCTATGTCATTTATTTCCGCTCTGATCTTTATTATTTACTTCCTTCTGCTCACACTGGGATTTTCTTGTTGCTCTCTTTCTAATTCTTCAAGTTGCAGAGTTAGATGGTTTATTACCAGTTTTTCTTGTTTTTTGAGGTGGGGCCTGTAATGCTATGAACTTCCCTCTCAGGACTGCTTTCACTATGTCCCAGTGATTTTGGATTGTTGTGTTTTCATTGCCATTTGTTTCCAGGATGTTTTTTATTTCTTTGATCTTTTTTGGTAACCCACTCATTGTTTAATAGCATGCTATTTAGCCTCCAAGTGTTTGAATTATTGTGATTGTTTTTCTTGTTTGAATATTTTTTGAATGATGTTTCTAACAAGCTATCCCTCCCTTTATATTTTTTCAGATTACACACCCAGCTGGCTGCATGTCTCAGTTTATTAAGTTCTTTGGAGAACAGATCCTCATTCTTTGGAAATTTGCCTTACTGAGAAAGCGCATTCTGATATTTTCTCCCCCTCCTGTGGGTGTCGTATGCTATCGAGGTAACTAAAGGCCAATGTCAGAGGCTCTTCCTGAGTTCCCCAGGGCAAATGCTTGAGTCCTTCCATTGTTGACCAAGTTCAGAAGGATCTGGGCCATATCAAGGGAGAGTTTTAAGAGTTTTAAGCCTAGAGTGACCTGGTTGGATCTGGATTTAGAATGTGGACTTGTGGCAATGCAGAAAATGCACTGGGTGACGTGCCAGTGGTGCCATGACAGATCAGGGTCTGGATTAGAGCAGAGAAGATGGATTGTAGTTAAGAGATAAGTTTGACAGCATTTGGTGCATGGTTGGGTTGTAATGTTCAGATGTGTATGAGGTTGTAATGGTGGAAGAATCTAGGGTGACAAGGATGGTGGGGCCACCAGAGGAGGAGGTGGTGTGAGAGTGAACTTTGGACATGGTGAGTGGGTGCTGTGAGGCCTTCTCCAGATGTCCACCGGGAACTGGTGTAATTGTGTCAGGACCTTGTGAATATTGGGCTGATCACCATGGGGAGAGGGAGGGATGAGAAGCTCAGGAGGTAAATCATGAGGAAGACAGAGGAGACTGAGGTGGGACTGTCAGGAGGGAGGGACCAGAAGGTGGAGGTCCTAGTAGGCGGGAATTTTGAGGAAGTCTGGTCAGCAGTGCCTCTCCTAAGCAAGCCCTAGTGCGGGGAAGACTGAGACCTGCTCACTGGTCTCGTAGGCCATCACTGGTGTGGCCTTGAGGACCTCAGTTCTGCTGCAGTACCTAACAGGCTCCCATCACCTCATTGAAATCAGGACCACCTGCTACTCAAGCGCCTGGGCAGCATAGAGCAAAGCCCTCCAAACCATTCTTGGAGGCTGAGGGCTCAGAGAGGGCCGGCTTCGCAGGCGGAAGGACTGGGAGTGACAGACTCTACCCTTCACCGTCTCTGTCCCCACAGTATACTGCTGCTGCTGCCTGGCCAACGTCTCCCTGCCTGGCCTCGGGGGCACCATCCCTGAGTCCAAGCCTTTCTTCTACGTGAATGTGGCCGACATCGAGAGCCTGGAGGTAGAGGTGTCCTATGTGGCCTGTGAGTACAGGGCCCTCCCCACCTCCTGCCCACATGCCTCCGCCCCGAGTACCTCCCACCGCCTCCCGGCTCCCCAGAGGCTCTTCTCCTCAGGGACCCGGGCTCCCGGGCTCCTGTTCCCCGGCGGGTGATGGCCTCTGGGTCCCAGCTCCTGCCCTCGGGTCTCATAGGCACCACAGAGAAGATTTTCGAGGAGAAGCGGGAGTTGTACGATGTCTATGTGGACAACCAGAATGTGAAGACGCACCACGACCACCTGCAGCCCCTGCTGAAGATCAACAGCGCCGACCGGGAGAAGTACCGGCGGCTCAACGAGCAGAGGTAGAGCCCCGGCAGCGCCCTCGGGGAGATGTCCCCAGGTGGGACCCCTGGCCCGGGGTCTCTGCCATCCCATCCAGCCCACCCTCCCCTAAGAACACATGGCAGGCCTGGGCGGTGGGTGGTGAAGAAGCAGGGCCCAGCACAGCCTCCTGATAGCATAGCAGATCCGCGTGGGGGCGGGGGGGGGGGGGAGGGGACTGCTTTCTGACGGCCTTGAATCTGTGAAGCTCAGGGCAGAGGCAGGCATGGAGCATCTGGCGTGTTCACCGCAGCACTGAGCTGCCTCATCATGCTCCACAATTCACTGTCCTGCAAAACCAGTGGCCTCATTAGCATCCCACCTGATGGGCAAATGGGAAAGATGACCACTTGCTTGAGGGGATTCAGGACCAGAGCCAGCCCTGGACCCAGGGTTTGACTCCCAGCCCTATTTATTCCTGTCCGGCCCCTTCTCTCCCTGCCTTTGGATGGGAGCCTGCTCTGGGTCTTCCTCCTTCCTGCGTAGAGGCGGTCTGTGGATGCCCTCACAATGACCTAGCCGATGACAGAGACCTTGCAGCCCTGCAGAGTCTCATGGTGCTTCCCCACAACAGGCAGACGCTGCTGTACTCCCAGGAGGTGGAGGGGGACTACGGCCCGTGTGAAGAGGACCTCTTTGTGCTGTAAGTCGCTGGGCTGGGCGGTGGGGCCTCCCTGAGAGCCCCATTAGCACCAGTGCTGTAGGTCGGATCCCTCCCAGGTCACACTGCAGTCCAGGGAGGTGCCTCATTGCTGCTGTCCATGTAAGGAACATGCAAACCTGTAGATACTTTTTGATTTTGAGACAAACAGACAATTGCTGGGAAGCAAAATCTCAAATGCTCTGGAGAATGGCAGTTTTGCAGCTGATGTTATGCATTAGAATCAAAGGAAGGACAGAGCATGGAACGCACTGACTCTGTGCTGTCCCAGCTACACAAAAGTGGGCGGAGTTCACATAAGGCAGAGTCAGACCTTTGCTGAAGAGCCGTACGTAGCCTGGGTGGGACAGCCTGCCGTGACCTGCACAGTTGGTGGCCAGACCATCTCGTGGGGTCACTCTCGGTCAGTGAGCTTGTCTGGCCGCCACGTGCCCCCCGAGCTTATCAGGTTTATTGCACGTCCCCTTTTCCTTCCCACTGCCCAGGGCACTCAGAGCTGCTCCGTACAGTCAGCCCTGAACCCTGACATGCTGTTGGTGGGGGGCCCAGAGGAGTTAAGGAAAGAAGCAGGGGAAGGTCAGTAAGAGGAAATGGGGTCCTGGGGTTTGCCCACTGCATAGGAGCTGTCTGTCCCTCAGGACTCAGGGACCTCTCCTCCACTGCTGCCTTGGGACAGAGCAGTCTTTGCACTGAATCCTATGGGACACTCTGAAAACTTAACCCTTGAACCTAATGAAATCATCCCCGCCCCCGATCTGTTGATAGTCAGGGTGGGAGCCCCAGCCTGTATCCCTCAATATCCATTTCATTCCTGAGCAGCTTTGAACTAGTGCTCAGTGAGGAGCTTCTTTTGCCCAGTCCTGGGTGGGCTATGTTCTCCGTGTGTCCCGTCCTGGGTCGGATGGGGAACAGCTTGCAGCGAGAACCCTCTCTGGCTTTGGTGTTGAAAATGTAATATTGACACTTCAACAAAGTGCAGGACTGTGATCCTGAGAAAGTGAACCTTCTAGCGTCCACTTACAAGCTATTGAGGTGTCAGAGTACCTGGGAACGGTCTCCTTTGGCTGGGCGTTCGATGGGTGTCAACTCCAGGCACCTGGACTTCCTGGGCGTCCACAGCGTCCTTGGGCATGAGGCGCCGTTGCAGAGCCCGAGAGCGCTGTGGGACACAGCTGAGCAGTCTAGACACCAAATGCCTTCCCTGGACCTGGTTCATATACTCGTGTGGTTCTGCCAATCAGTGACATGAGAGCATGCTCTGTGAATAATTTTTAAAAAGTAATTAATGAGAAATAAACACCAAGGATGATGGTCAGCTGTGGCAGTGCTGGTTCCTGCAGCGTGGCTCTGTGTCTCCCTCGCCTGTCACTCCCAGCCTTGCTGGTTTCAGAGTGCCCCATGCCCGCCCCAGCTCCTCAGAGCTGCACCTTTAATGTGGGCATCCGTGTCGGCCAGCGTGGCCTGCAGAAGCTCTAGCATCTGTTGTTTCAGAGCCTCCTGCCGCCGCCGTTACCCAGCCCAGGCTCAGAAGGTGCACTTGTTTCTCTCTGAAAGTTCTGACCTCAGAACTGGAGCTCCAGTTGTTGCCTTAACTCCCCTGTGACTAAGCAGAGAGAGGAGCATGGCACAGGGGCCTCTCTCCCAGGCCGTGGTTAACCTTCAGGTCCCCTCTCAGCAGGCCAGCGCTTGCTCAGAGATTCCCCTAATCACACCGGGATTGATGCCAGTGTTTTCTTTGCCAATCTTAGTTTTACTTGAATATACCTTCCGTTTAACTTTGGTTCTTTTTTCTTTAAAAGAGATTTCTGATTTTTGAAACCATTGGAAGGTATATTCAACAAGACAATGTGGCCTGGTTCCCCAGGCGTGGACTCCCTGGTGAGCTTCTTGTCTTTTCTGCCCTCCCTTTTCCGTGTCTGGTCCTGGGAATGCAGGTTTTTCCTCGAGCAAAACAACCGGATATTCCAGACGCTGCTGGAGGTGTCTGCCAGTCAAGACAAAACTCTGACAGCCGAGCATGCCCGGGGCATGGGCCTGGACCCGCAGGGCGACCGCAGCTTCCTCATGGACCTGCTGGAGGCCTACGGCATCGACGTCATGCTGGTCATCGACAACCCCTGCTGCCCGTAGGGGAGAGCCCGTGAGCTGCTGTGGGGACTCTGCCAGCCCCGCCTAGGGCTCACTTTTTATTAAGTGGACACAAAGCGACATTGTTTATACTTTCCAACTGATGTAATTTTTGCAATCGGCGTTCTTCCCTTGCTCTGGAGAGGTAAGATGAGACTGCCGTGGTTTTGTGTGCGGCTTCCGTAGGCCGCTGCAGCCTGCCACCTTCTCCCAGAGTTGCTGCCTGCTTTGGTGTCGGGTGTTCTCATCAGCGGGAACTCTCTCATCTCCCTGTTGAATGCCCTGAGATGCGGCAAAGGCCAAGTGTCGCCAGGAGTGGGCTGATCTCTGGAGACACAGATATACTGTTCCGGAACACTCTGTGGCCTGTGGCCCGAGTTGGATTCAAGGATGAGACCACGTCTTCCCTAAGTGTGGTGGTGGGAGTCCCGTGGCGGAAGCTAGACCAGGTGACCTTTCAAGGTCATCGCTTCTGAGAGTCCAGTCTGAGGGCCAGACCTATTTTCCTGTTTATTAAAACAAATCTGTGTCTTCCGGTGAGGAGAGATCTCAAAGTGGGACAGAAGGATGTGTCTGACCCCAAGCACGAGCTTCTGGGACAGGGCGACAAGGAGAAGCTCCTTGTTAGTCAGCTGAGACTCCTCCCAGTTCTTGGCGGCCACTCAGTGTAGAATTCCTCTTCCCCAGAATCCCCCTTTCGGGATGGATTGGCAAATCCATTTTCCAATTCAGTCTCCTTTAAGGGCTACCCATCCTCTTAGAATTTGGGTATATTTAAAGACTAGCATTTGGGTATATTTAAAGACTAGCATTTGTTGCCCAAAGATGGAGGAATTGAGGTGCAGGATAGAAGATGTGCCTTCATCTGGGTGTGCCCTCTGGAGGCGTGACCAGTAGAGCCACGGGTCAAAGCAGAGCCTCCTGGATGCTGTGATCCAGCCGGGATCTGAGCTGGTTAACACGGAGCACGTTATTAAGACCGTGGGCTAGCATGGAGCCCGCAGAGCTCCTCCTGAAGAGAGGACAGTCCTTGAGCTAAGTAATTGGGGACAGGGACCTATCAGGTTGTTAGCAAATATGACAGTGCCTTTCCTGGGAGAGCGGTCGGGAGCCCAAGTATCAGGTGAGTTTCTGCTTTCCTCTCAGAGGTTTCAGTCCGGACAGCTCCCGTCGGTCCCTGCCTGTTTGCTTTGGCTGGGCGTTGGATGGATGTCAGCTTCGGTGACGTAGGAAGCAGGCTCCTGTGAGTAGTGTGAGGGCAGTAATTTAGGATTTTGACTTAAGGAAATAATTCCTTCCCCTGTCCCCTTCCTGCCCGACTGTTACTGGAATAGCCGTCAGTGTATCATGTCTGTGGCCAGGCTGCAGCCAGGCTAATGCACACAGCAGCAGAGAGAAAAAACCCTCCGGTGGATGAGTCACACGACTGAGCTCAATGTTTTCACTGCGGCTCCTTACGAAGGAACTCCAGGCTACAGAAATGCACACCTGGGACCGCTGACAGGCATCGAGCCATCGAGGCAGTGCCTTTTCTGTAAATAAGTAAATAAGTGTGGGCATTGAGAGGTAGTCTGTGCAGTCCATTTCTCTCTCTGCAGTCATGTCAATCGTGTGTTCATAGAAGAAACGTGTGTGTGCAAGAGGAAGCTGCCCTGCCGTCTTCCTAGAGGAGTGCCCCTCACCGGGCGAGTCCTGGTTACTGTCGGTGGCATGTGCGAGGTTCAGGGGTACAAAGCTGGGGGTAAGTGGTCGGAGCAGGGGTGGGGTGGAAGGGCAGGGCAGGTCCCCGCAGAGGACACGGGCAGACACTGTTTCCGTGGAGCTGGGTTGGAAGAAGGCTTTTTCAGCACTTGGGCTCCGGTCTGTGTGCATGCGAACACTTGTGTCTATGGTCTCGTAACTCAGAGCTCCAAAGTGCTGAGGTTCAGGTGGTGGGTGAAAATGAGGCTCCTGGAGTCCCCTTTCAATGGTAGGTCAGGGGCTTTGGGCTTCACTTAACTCCACTGTTGTGGGCAGCCATCTGGCATGTCCGTGCATCCACCCTCATGCCGTGGAGAGGGCTGGGGTCTGGGTGCCCCAGTGGGAAACATACCCATGAGGCTGTGCCATGTCTTAGATCAAGGGGCTCAGCTGATCCCCAAAGCAGAACTTGTTTGTCCCTTCCCTGCCTGCCTTCCTTGCAGCTTCCTCATGGGGCCAGAAAGTCAGTGTGTGCCACCTCTGCTTAGCTGACCAAGGTGCGCACTGGCTCTGTACTACTGTTGTCGCAGTTTGTCATCCCCCGAGCAGTTCTTGCTTGGATTGAGATATGGAGGTTCCCCTTCGAAAGCTTGCTGTTTACCTGACTGCCCTCCCCATCTCCTCCCACTGTCTCGGGTGGGCAGCCCAGCCCAGCATCATTCGCCGCCTGTTTCCCAGAAGGGGACTGAGTTTGTGAGGTCTGAGGCAGGAATCCTTGGGTGGCAGCAGCAGAAGCCGGAAGCCACCTGGGTTTGGTTTTCTGTCACTGTTGAAACACTGAGAAACCATCACTATAGTTTGGAAGATGTTGGTGAGCATCCTTCGAGGTCCTGCCTTCTCAGTCTGTAAGCTCTGGGGGAGAGCAGGGGGAGAGGGGGCACAGGGATGCCTATCGTGACCACTGACCTTCTGGAACCTGTTGGGAACCTAACCTGGGGTGTGGCCCCTCGATTGGGTGCTGTTGCTGGAGCAAGCCCTCCTGCGCCAGCTGCCCAGTCCCCTGGGCAACTTTCAGCCTGAGCTTGTGTTGTGCTGAGAGCCATGAACCAACCTGGGAACTGCTGACCCGAGACTCCTGGGCTGCTCTGATATCCTGAGATGGCGTTAGAAGAAATCCCAGGTCGTGAGAGTCCTGATGAGGCCTAAATCCAGGCGTGGGGCTTACTGCTGTTAACATGGGTTTTTCCAAGTTTGCAAGCTTGGCAGATGGCAGCATTCAGCCTTTGCGACCACTTGTCCTCTAGTCAGGACTCTCTTGTTGAAGGAGTCAGAAATGGTCAGGCATAGCGCCTCCTAATTAAAAAGTCCGGGCCAAGTTGTCTGTTGAGAATTTGTTTTGGCTTTCGTGGAGCATGACCTGCCCAGGCTGATGGAGATGTATCCCAACAAAGGAGCCCCAGTTGGGGCCCTGGGCCTTGGTAGATTGTGACTGCCCTGAGTTAGGAGGCATGTGCCTCCCATTTCCGTTATCCATGCGACCCCTCTTCTTGCATTTGGCAGGAGGCAGGGAAGCCGAATTCATCGATGTACTGGAGGAAGTGTTAGCATAGGAATTTGCATCTGTAACTTGACCTTGTTTGGTTCCACGTTTAAGTGTAGCACAGGATGTAGGTAATTCTAAATATGGTGTGTGAAGATTCATTTATCAGTGTAACGATCTGTGATATTTTAGCTAGAGGATAAAGATGAAGATCAATTAAATCACAGCTGAATCACTTTTCCTCCTGCTGGTGGTGAGGAGGAGCAGCCAGCTATTTGTCTTGATACACTGAGAGCCCTTCAGGCACAATAGAGAGAGATCATTCACCTTTAAACAGGCCTTTAGGGAAACTTCTGCAAAGGGCAGTAACAAATTAACCTTCTAATGGTGGTATAGGAGCCCTTCAGGAAGAGGCCGGGACCTCAGGGACCGTTTTTGTTTTTCTGGTGTGTTTTTTATGAAACTACAAGGCCCAGTGAATGGACTGAGATGCTTTCTCCAGGCTCAGAGCAGCTCATTCTTGCAGAGGTACAGGAGGGGAGGAAATCATAAAACAGTGTTCTGATCGGCAGTGAACTTGCCGTAGTGTGATGACAGAAAACAGCAAGAAAGTTAATCTGGGGACCAACAGGTATACACAGCTTTATCTTCATTAGGTTCCTTGCTAGTGGGCGGAGGATCCAAGAAAAATCTAGTCCCCGGCTTTCCCCAGCTCTGCTCAACTCTCCTGCAGACCCAGATGCTTATTTCCGCAGGCTCGCCCCCCCCCCCCGCCCCCCCCCCCCCCCCCCCGCACTTCAGGAAAACCATTTTCTGATGCAGGTCGCAGAAGAGAAGGGGTTAAGAGCTGCTTTTACTCCTAAGTTGTGAATTTTTAACATTCCGTTGTGTTACTGATATACCTCTGTTCCCAGGAGCAAGTATTGAGTATTGTGAGGAAAGGCTGTGAGTTTAGTTAATGTTTTTCTTATAAGAAATTGAAGCTTATTTTTATATCAATATTACTGTGTGATGAAATGAGTATGCAGATGTTAGAATGGAAGGAAATTTCCAAACTGTAATCCTACCTAGAAGAAATGGGCAGTTTGGGAATTTGGAAGCAACTGAGACCCTATAAAAGTTTTATGACTTAAGATGTTTTGGAGAGTGAACAAGGACTGTGAAATCTTTTTCTTATACATGTGTTTTTATTCATTTTAGAGAGAGAAGGGAGAGGAACAGAGAGAGACACATTGACCTGCCTCCTTGTGTGCCCCCTATTGGGCATATGCCCCGACCCGGAATTGAACCTGTAACCTCTTGGTTCATGGATCGATGCCCAACCACTAGGCCACCCTGGCTGGGCAGCACTGTGAAATCTTAATAGCTCTTTGTAGGAGATAAACCTGACCATCCTAGACAGGATGACATATAGTCCCCAACCTTAAGTAAAAATCCCATACCAAGGGGGCAACTGAAATAATGCTGACTAGGCCTCCTGACTGTGGAAAGCAGTTTTACTAGTGTAACTGGCACTTTAACTCAGGTTTGGAGCTGGAGAACAGGGGCAGCTGGACGAAGCTTCACATTAAGAAAGGAAATCAGCATTTCCTAATGCCATATAGGAAATGACAGGGAAGTAAAGCTCTGTTTTCATTTCTCCTGTTTATTATAGCTCAACACAGCATGGGCTTTTAGAGGCAGTAGGACCTAAGTTCAGAAAATTACTTACTGGGAGGTCGGTGGGAATCACCTGTTTGCTGTGGAAAGCCCAGTTAGACTGAAGATCAGTTTGCTTTGCTTTCTAAGAATGGCTGGGAAGGGGATTAGATTGGCCAGAGATGATCCAAAAAAGGACAAATCTACACAGAGGTCACTGAGTGAGATGACTGCTGATTTGACATTCGAGTGAAAACTTCCTCTGGGAGAATTAAGCAAAGATAAGTGTGCAAACAAATTTTTTCCCGGTGGCGTCAGAAAAAGTTTCAGTCTAGCGTGCCCAGGAAGACATGGTGAGGGGAGGTGTAGATCCTGGGCTTTTGTCTGACAGGGTGGGAGGGGCCCTTAGGGGTATAGAGTAGAAACAAAATAACATCCTTTCTTTACCCCCAGCTTGTGGGCTAAACTTTTTGTGGGTCTGAGAAATCTTTTCTGAAAAAGTTGTAGCTTTGGAAAAAAAGATTTTCCTATTTAGGAAAAGCATAGCATCCCTTGTCACCTTAAATGTCCAGCACCTATTTTGATTAACACCCCAGTATAAGAGTTATAGCAATAAGAGAAACTGAGTCTACTTTTGTTTCAAGTCTTTACCTCATCAATATCAGTAAGTCAGTTGATAAATTTTACCCTGAGTACCACTGCTTATAGGTATGTTATTCTTGCTCTGTTTTCAATAATTTTAAAGGCCCAGATAAAGTTGGGATTATCCTGAATTTCATAGTGTTTCTTGAGTTGATTTTGTTCTGTGGTACAAATAACATCTGTGTATATCATTATCTGTATATATCTGAACCAAGTTGTGTGTAGAGAGGTTGATATAACTATATTTACAGAAAATAATTTTTACGATTAAAATTCACATTTTAACATGAAAACGTGTGCGCAGTCCTTCACCTAGCCCGAGAAATGTGTCTGTAGTAAAGAGTGACGGCCCAATGCAAGTGCAGAATTCACGGCTGAGCTCACTTCCCACGACAGTGTGGGAAACACGAGAGCTGGGGCCTGTCCTCCTGCAGGCCAAGGACAGGCACTGGGAACCAAAGCCGGAATAACTGCCACCCGGAGGAGCCAGCACCTCGAACCCCAGTCCCATCAGATGACTTCTAGAGGACCACCCCACAGAGGTCTGTATTCTAGAAGGCAAAGTAACAAAGGATACTTTAAGATGTTCTATATTATATATGTATTCACATAAATGCATTTTATATATCTATATCTATCTATCTATATCTGTGTATATGGGGATTCGAAAGTTTTGATTTTTTAAACCTAAGGCAGTAAAAATTGCTAACATTGTTGATTTGTTTTTAAGCCAGGCTCCTATTTTCCAAGCTAAATGACCATGATGTTACCTACTTCCTAGGGCTGCTATGAGAACTGAATGAATCAGTTACTTGTGTAAAGCACCAGACACATAGTAATGATAACTGTGTGTGCAAAAGGCTTTACATTAGATTAATAGAAATACCCTTAGCTTGTGAGTGAAGTTGGGCTGACAAAGTTTGTACTCAACAGGAGGCGAGGGGCTCCAGTTCTCTGGATGCCTCAGCATCCCAAGTGTGGCTGACAAGGATGACCCTCTCCTGGCTGCACTACGAAATGGCCTTTGCATGGACATTATATGGAAAGACAAGGCAGCAGATAAGGAAACCATAGTCCCACAGGATATAGTTTAGATGGGGGCATTTTTATATTTAGAGTGACTAAAAATAGGAATCTGGATTAAATATCCTCCCCAATGCTAAGTTTCATCATTTCGTTGGAAGGAATAGAAGCACGGACACACACATGCTGGTTGCCTACCAGATTCCAGCTGGTCCTTCATACTGTATTCTAGAATCATGTGCTCAATTCTCTGGCTCATGGAAACTTTTTCCTTCTATCACAGCATCTCCTCCCCTCCAGGGGCAGTGTGAGTCGATGATCCTTACTCTGCTTTTTCAGACCCACCTGTTATTTTTTTGGCAGAAGCACAGCTTTCAACACCTCTCTGAAGAAGGCATAGGTAAGCTTGTTTTCTGTGCTCTTCACACACCGGCTTTTTGTAGCAGCTTTATAAGGCAGGGGTGAGGGACGTCCGGCCCTGCCAAAGTAATTGCAGGTGGGACTAGAAATTCAGTAAATCTAGGATTTTTTTTTTTCATAGCAACATATTTTTTAAGTTGATAGTTGTGTACAGCCCCTGAACGATGTTATAAATATCCAAATGGCTTGGCAGAAAAAAGGTCCCTAGCCCCGCTTTAAAGCATGAGACAGCAAGGGGCTCACAAGCATACATGCTGCCCTGAAGTGGGTCCACCCGCGACAAAGGCCTGCAGGCCGCCTCCCACTTTTCCTTCCTCTTTACAAAAGAAGGCATGCTTCTCATCCATTTACTGAGGTGCTTTGCCCTCTAGAATACAGAACTCAGGGGCACTGAACAAGGGTGATGTTGAGATTAAAAGTAAAGGAAGACGGCTGGCTAACAAATCCTTAGCAGACCAAGAGTTTCTAGTTCTCTGCTTTCAACAAACTAAAGGGAGATGTCAGCAAGCTGCTAACAGATCCCTGATTTTTGACATATAATTGTGTCATGCAGCTCTTCAAATTCCTTTGATGTGCTTAAATCTATGAAAAATAGAACAAAGAATATAGTGTTCATTCCTATCCCATTTTTAGCTACAAATAATGTGTTCTTGGATAAATGAAATAATTAGGATAAAGAACATTCTAATAAAGTTAAAGTTAAATCTTAAATCTTAAAATTATTATCAAATTATTTTTATCAATTTTATAAATATAACATTTACCCTGTACTGTAAAATTCAAGCATAAAAATAGATTGCATTATGGTAGCATTCTTTGCTGAAAAGTAGTATGGAAATATACAAGGAGAAAAAAATTTAAATTTTCAACTAATAACTTTATTTTTATAAATGAATATGTTTATTTTTATAAATGGATATGTTTAAAAGAGTGAAGTAATAGATTTTATTTCAAAATATCAATATTTACAGGACAGCAGAAAGTACATGCTTTGGCAACTTCCTATGAAAAATTTTAGATATCAACTTAAAGTGGGATGGGACACCTAGTTTTGGAAGAACTTCTAGGAAGTACATGGCTTTACAACACTGCCCAGGTGAGGCTGGGGGGCAGCCTGGAATATAGTTACCTGGGAAGGGAGGGAGGCTGCTTGTTAGGAAGATGCAAATTCCTGGGCTCCATCCAGATTGAGTTATGTAGGTTTGGGTTGGACTTTAAGTAAGTCAGTTTTCAACATGCACCCTTGCAGGTTGTCATGCAAACTAACATTGAAAACATTTAAGAAACATTACTTAAAAAAGTATTTTACAGTATTTCAGCCCAGGCTGAAGAGGAAAACATCTCACCTACGGTTTAGGGTTGAGAATCAACCTGAAACAAGCCAGGTCAGAGCTCACCACGCAGCACCCAGGGGAGGCCTGCAGCCAGGACTCGGGAGCAGAAGTCCTAGGGTGGCCAAAGGACAGACGGATGGAGGGAGTCTGGGAGCCTGCTTGCAACTGCAGTTGCACTTGGGAGGATGACAAAGTCTAGCCTCGTCCTCTTCCAGCCGCTGAGGGTGAGTGTCCTTGAACTTAGCTAGGGGAAGGACTGTCTCACAGAGTCGAAAGCATGCGCTAATGGAAAGCAGGTGCACAGAGCAGACTTCGGAAAGCAATGAGCGAAGGGCAGAGGTACTTGCCATGGAAATGCCCTGGGGATCCTCTGACAACACTGTGGGGACAGCTGAGGCATTTGTTCCCTTTTGGTCCCACTGGTAGCCTCAGTGCAGTCCTGGGGGCCCTGTCTCCTGGCTGCTCATGGGGCTGAGCTCGGCAGCAGCTGCTCTCTCTTCCTCGGGTCACAGAAGAACTGCAGTTTCCGGGGCAGCAGCTTCACCTCCACAGGCATTGCCTCGTACTCCTCACTGTCGATGCTAAAGGAGCCCCCTGTGCCCTGCGAGGAAGAGAGTGTTCAGCCAGCGCACACCACACTTGGCAGAGTCCTGGCAGCACCAGAGCAAGTCATTCATCCTGAGGATTTAGTCTAATGTTCTTTTAGGAAAATATCTCAGTGTCATTATGGGCATCATGCTGGTTCTGGAAATATCCCAATTCTGCCATCCATGACAAAGATTATTATTATTTTTTTTTTATCTCTATCTCCTACCAGAGTATTTTTAGATTTGAGTAGCAAGGTTACAATCTTCAAATATATATTAAAAGACAGAGGTCCTGCCACATCTTGGAGGACAGAATTCATAAACATAGTCAACGTTGCAGGTCTTTCTCAAAGGAGAAGTGAGCGAGACAGCACATTCTCCTAGGAGAGCCATCATGTCCACCTGACTGTTCAAGATTCCCTTTAGGATTTTCTTAGCTCTGTACTTAAGGGGAAGCAAGCAACACTGCAGTCTACCGGCTTTTCCATCGATGCATTAATGACGTTTCTGTGATGAAACTGTGGGGCTCTGCAGTGCTTCTTGGGTAAAACAGGACAGTCTGCAGCAGCTTGTCTCCTGCCATGTCACTAATAAAATAACCTTAGAACTTAGATGAAATTTCCAACTTTTCCCCCACTTATATAGATTAATCTTCTTAGGCTTGGCATTTCACAGAAAAACTTAGTGCCATTTCGAAAACTGCTTGCAGATCCTTCATGACAAGTGTGAAGGTAGAATCACAGTTAACATTTGAGAATGTTCTGTGTGTGATAATTCAGTAACACTCTGAAGTGATCGCTAGGTCTCCTGAACTTTCCCCCCAATATGTAAATTATGCAGAGAACCTTGGGTTAAAAACATTCGATTCTGTCATCTTCCAGGTCTCCTTTCTATGACCCAGAGCCTGGCAAAGTGCTCAGCACAGCCTAGGTCCCTAAAGGAGAGGGAAAGCCCAAAGGAAGAAAACAGAGCTGTGGGCCAGCCACGCCGCTTACCTCGGGCAGGACCAGGGTGCACTGGCTGGCTTGGAGACACTCGGTGCCCTCAGCATGCAGCTTGGGATCTCGTACCTTTTTACTTCTGTTAGGGGAAAAAACAAGCTTGGAAACTAGTATTGGTGCCTAGTAGATTGTAGGTACATAGCAAGTTCCTTCTGTTTTTGATGAGATTAAGTACTCATCCATTGAATACCGTGAAGTTCTGTAATTTTTCCCATGAGAACTCTTGCTCAGCGTTCTGGGTTGAGAAGGTTTACTTGCTGTGGAGAGCTGTGCATGTCATTAGTCCTAATTTTAAATTGTCCACATGTACCCAATTCTTGGGTTATTAAGGATAAAATTAAATTATTTAGGGAAAGTACTAAACGTCTGTTGTTTGGTACTTCTTGTGAGTCAACTCTTAAGGTAGATGTTTCTTATATACATCGTATATAAACCACCCATTTTACAGTAAGCTCTCTGCTGAGTCTGCGTATGAACTGCCTACTTAGCATGATACATCTTTAACTTCACCAAATGGTGTTAGTCAACTATCCAAATAACTATCCACACATAGTCCCCGCTTCATAGCTAGACATGGGAAGTAGAAAAAGAACAAAACCTGATCCAAGCAAATTAGTCCATTCTTTTTCATTAACTGACAACAGTAATCAGTTTGCTAGAGCAACTCCACAATGTCCTATTCAGATACCCAGAGGAAACAGTCATTACCCGATTTCACTTCCCGTAGAGACCAAAAGGAGACCGTGCTATTGCATAATGACTTCACTTAAGCAAAATGATCATTTTTTTCTTTCTACTTTTTTTCTTCCTACTTTTGGAGGTCAGTACCAAAGGAGATTTGAATATAATTGGCCCCACTGGTCAGACTCTTAAGTCACTGTATGGCTTCTGCACTCTGTAGAGGAAGGATATGGTTTTCCTTTTACTACAGATACAGCAAGTAAACCAAGGCTGCAGAAGCAGCTGTACAGCATCTGAAGAATTTGTAGCAAAGGCAAAACCACCACAAACCTATGAAAGACATTGTGCTGCCACTGCCAATGCAGATAATGAGGTAGCCATGGAAACCCAGCCGCTGCGGCAGAAATGCCTAACCCTTCAATGGGCACGAGAGGGAGCTCTGAGCCAAAGCACAGAAAACACCACTGAGCAGATTACTAGTGGGCATGGTAACAGGCGCTGCACAGAGGCTGTGAAGATGGGGGAAGGCCTCGAGCATTCTTAATAAAACCCTGGCAGCATTAGGGAGGGCTTACCAAATCAGACAGGACTTGGAAGGGTGTTTTCTGATGAAAAAGGGGAAACCTGGAACATGGCCAAAGTTCTTAATACCTTTTCAGGTTTTTCATTAGCACCCTGAGAATAGGACAAGTGGACTGACAAACTGCAGTGATTCTGTGAAGTCTGTCACAATAAAAAAGGCTTGCCCACATTCACCTGAGACTCAGAAACACTCTTGAGGTAGAGGAGATTCTATTACTCCATTCCACACACAGGGAAAATGATTCAGCGAAGTAAGGATTTGTCCAAATCGTGAGGCCAGAAAGTGGCGGAATCCAGGCATTCCAACCCAGAAGCTGAAATCCCAGACACTGTGCCATGCTACACTGAGTTCTTTCATTTCACTGAAAGGCCAAAACTGTTCCCATCCTCGGATCTTTCCAAAATGAACAGGGAAGGTAAGAGAAAAGAGCACTAGACATGTCCACCCAGTGAAACAAAGAATGCTGTCACTCGCAAACAAATCCCGCGCTGGGTCTCTATCGTAGACTTCGTGGGTACTCTGAACACTGTACAAGACAAATGACTTCAGCCTCATTGCCTCCAAACCAGTCCACCTACCTCCAGTTATGAAATCGCAATCTACTTACCCTATAGTGATGAAGTCTCCTTTGCTGACACTGTCGGGTTCAATGCAGATATTCATAAAATCTTCTGTGCTCTGAAAGATTAAGACATTAATATTCTGAATTCTTGCTGACGCGGCCTGCTGCCATCCTTAAGCCCAGCAGATTCATATTTTGAAGCTGTGTAAGAAGGGGGGTGGGAGGAAGACTTAATCCTGAATATATTTTTGGTTCCTTTTTTTCTTTTTACATTAAGACCTTCATTGTGATATAATTTACATACCATAAAATTCATCTCCACTGTTTTTTGCAACATATACAAGATAAATAAAAACTCAGATTTGGAGGTTTGTCAAAACTAAGAGTGGGAGGTTTGTGAAGTTCTGTCACAAATAATCAAAGCTGTTAAGAGTCCCTAGGATTCACTCCCTGCAGGCCAAGCTTTCAGCCCACTATCCCCAGAAGTCTTACTCTACGTCAGCATCACACCACACCTGCTTCAGCAGCATGCTGGGTAGGGCTCAATGTCTCTCTTTAAATGCTGTACACGTAGATTTGGTGTGAAGCCAGAGCTTAGGAGAAGCAATCCACTTATGACATGGTAATGCTTTAAGAACTTTCCATTCCAACCATAGAAAGTTCTGGGAGAGCTGAGCTACAAGGAAGTGGCTATAAAAATAGACTTAGTTCTAATATCACTCCCCCAATTTACTAGCAGTCAGTGGCTAGCAGTACACACCGGGCCCTCTGAAATTCAGTCCCGCCACTCTTTCCTTGTCTGTTTCAAATAGAGGTTTGTTTCTTTGTGGACTGGTTCAAAATCTGTAGCCACAGGATAACCCGCAGGCCTCTGACAGCTTTTGCCAAAGATTAAAAGCCAGACGAGAGCATAACTTTATCTCTCAACTGGCAATTACAAATCATAGAGGTGACTTTGCTCTAAATTCATCTTTTATTTAGCATCAACCGACTTACTGAGTGAATTCCTCTAGATGCTAAAAACGCCCAACAATTTCTGCCTATGAAGTACTTACATTCTATCAGAGAGACTGGAGAGGATAAACAAAAACAAAACAAAAAAGCAACCATAACTTAAAAATACAAATGCTAGAGCATATTACAAGTATGCTAGAATATACTAGTATAAAAATAGTAAATTGTGGAATGAATATATATGGCATAAATGATAAATTATAGAGAACACTAGAGGCCTGGTGCATGGATTCGTGTACCATTGGGGTCCCTCGGCCTGGCCTGCGTCCCCTCATAACCCGGGACCCCTCGGGGGAATGTCAGACTACTGGTTTCGACCTGATCCCCAGGCCAAGCTGAGGGACTCCAAAGGTATGCAAATTCATGCACTGTGCCTCTAGTATGCATATAAGATCTTTGGTTGATTGCTTTCTGCTCTTCCCCCTTCCCTCTGAAATTCATCAGTCTGTTCCATGTTTCCATGCCTGTGCATTGAATGCCTGGCCCCTGGTGGTCAGTGCATGTTACTGGTAGAACAGCTGCTTAGGCTTTTATATATAGAGATTAGAACACAGAGTGTTAGTCCATTAGAAAAACGAGAGAAGGAACACCAAGTGACACTGGTGTGGTACTGATACTTTTAAAGAGGGTCCACATGGGCCTCATTGAGAAGATAGCCTTTGAGCAGACACCTGAAGAAGGTGAGAAAATTAGTGTGGATATCCAGGGCAGTGGTTCTCAAACTTCAGCAAGCATCATTTGGAGGGCCTGTTAAAAAGCAGACTCTAACCCCATGCTCAGAGTTGATGGTTCAGTAGATCTGGGCAAGGCCCAAGAATTTTTGTTTCTAACAAAAGATCCCAAGTGAGGCTGCTGTTGCTGATCTAGGCCCACACTTAGAGAATCTAAGTCTAAGGCAGTGGGTTGGCAAACCGCGGCTCACAAGCCACATGCGGCTCTTTGGCCCCTTGAGTGTGGCTCTTCCACAAAATACCACATGTGGGCACGTACGTACAGTGCGATTGAAACTTCATGGCCCATGTGTAGAAGTCAGTTTTCAGCCTGGATGAGTCTATTTTGAAGAAGTGGCATTAGAACACTCAAGGGTCCAAGAGCCGCATTTGGCTTGAGAGCCCAGGTTTGCCGACCACTAGTCTAGGGGAGAGTGATCCACACAAAGATGAAAGAAGAGCGAGGAGCCAGCATGGCCAGATGAGATGGTGAAGGGATACCTGGGTGAAGCCAGGGGAGACTGGAAATAGCACACAGTGCCTCATAGACATTCCATGGAATCGACTGTTAGGCAGAGTGAAATGGGAGCCACAGGAAAGTTCTAAGCAGAGAAAGATCTGGCTTCATGTGAACAGGATCTCTCAGGCTACCATGTTTAGAATAGAGGAGGAGAAGGAAGAAGTGGGAGACCACGTAGGGACCTGCTGCCTGGCTTGGATCAGGTAGCAGGGAGATCCAGTGAAGTGCTGCAAGTATTTAGGTGAAGCCACCAGGACTTCCTCAAAGACTGATGTGAAGAGAAAGAGCAGCCCGGAGTGACTCTGAGATGTCTAGCCCAAACAAATGAAAGACTGGAATTACAGGCAACCACAACTGTAGGGAAGAGTGGATAAGTCAGATTTCAGGGAAAGAATCAGTTGCTCAGTTCTGGACATGCTGAGATAGAAATGTGTATTAAATATCTAAGAGGACAGGTTACATAGACAGTTATACATACAAATCTAGGATTTGTCCTTTGTAAATAGTGTGATTACAAAAATCAATATGTTCTGCATTGACAGATAAATGAGAAAACCTTATCTCAATAGATGCTGGAAAAGTTCCTAACACAGTTAAATACCCACTCATGAAAAAATCTCTTAGCAAACGAGGATAGTAGGAACTTCCTTAATCTTATAAAGGGCATCTACAAAAAAACCATCACACTCAAGAACAAAGCAATGAAACCTTTCTCTCCACAGCAGGAATAAGGCAATAATGCTTCTACCACTATTTCTATTTAACACTCTGCTGAGGTCCTAGCCAATGTGGTAGGTAAAATAAGATTAGAAGGCTAAGTATTTGAAAGGAAAGAACAAAACTTGCACTATTTGCAGATGATGTAATTAAATCAATATAAAATCCAAAGGAATCCATAAACTTAATATAACTAGAATTTAGTCTGCTGATTTAACATCGATAGAAAAAAAATCAATTATAAATTCTACTAAATCAGATAGTTAAAAAAATGAAACTTTAGGCAATACTGTTTACAGTCATATCAAAAAGATTACCCCCCCCACACACACACAGCAAAGACAAAATGTTATAAAAAAAAAACACAACTATAATACTACATTGAAGGACATTGAAAATCTACACAATGTAATACTAAGCCATTAAGAAGAAAGAAATCTTACCCTTTGTGACAGCATAGATGGACCTGGAGAGCATTATGCTAAGTGAAATGAGGCAGTGAAAGCAGAGAAAGACAAGTACCATATGATTTCACTCATATGTGGAATCTAATAACAAAACAGAAATAGACTCAGAACAGACAGACAGTTATCAGAGGGGAGGGAGGTTTTGGGACTGGGTGAAAAAGGTGGAAGAATTAAGAAACAAGAAACGAAAAACAACAAAAACCCTCTGAGACAGACAATAGTATGGTGATTACTGGAGGGGCAGGGGATGGGGGAGGGTAAGAGAGGGTAAAGGTAGTAAAGTGGTGATGGAAGGGGACTTGACTTGGGGTGGGGAACACACAGTACAATATACAGATGATGTATCAGAGAATTTTACACCTGAAACTTATATAATTGTTAACCGGTGTCATCCCAATAAATTCAATAAAAAAATACAAATCTAAATAAATATAGAGCTATGCCCATTCAGTCAATAGGAGAGTCAATATTGTAGAAATGTCATTTGATCTACAGGTTCAATGTATAATAATTCTGATCAGTGTAACAGATTTTTATGTGGAACTTGATAAACATCCCAAGGGGTTTATAAAAATCAAAGAGTCAAGAATAGCTAGGAGACTCTTTAAAAATAAGGAAAAAATGGACCTGTAAAACAATATTAAGCTCAGCACTAGTCAACTATAGGAAAATAGAGCAACTGAATAAAGAAACTACAGACATTTCCACTTATTATTATGCAAACAATGTTTGACAGGTTTTGCAATCAGTGTTGTATGTGTGTGTGTGTGAGGTGAGATAGACATGTGAATAAGTGGTTCTTCAACACTAGCTTTCTACATGGAAAGAATATAAAATTGGGGCCTTACCTCTACCATTCACAAAACTGCTTTATAGGGAGAAGTATTTCTTTTCAAAATAAAAATGGAATCATTTGGTGTAAATCAATTTAACCTGGTTTTCACTTAACAATACATGATGATCATCGTTCCATGTCAGTAAATACAGAGACAACCTTTTAAAGAAGTGGACTGAATCAGTCCCCTGATTAGCTTGTTTCATATGTTCTGCTGTTATACAGAGCATAGTTAGTCGCACAAGAGATCCTAATTTTCACACATTCCTGATGATTCTTTTGAGACTCTGAATATACATCTTTAAATGATAAAGGAATGTTCTGAGCTATGACTTGGCAGCTTCATTGTCTCTGAATATTTTATTGCAGTTGCTTTTATTTTTACAAAGAGGTATGAAAAAAAAATGAATGTGCTGCTACTAGTGATAAGACGCACAGTATCATATACTTTTATAATTGCCACAGAGATAAAAGCACTCACTCAGCCTGCTGCATGTGGCTAATCTGGAGCCACAATCGCACACTCACTGAACTCAATCATCAAAGAAAAGAACGAACGGTGTTAAAGAACATGAACAAAGTACTGGAAATACATATTATCAGAGATTGGGTATAAAAGGACATGTACAATTAGAAATCTTATCTTTTTTTTGAATCCCTCCAGAACAGAACCTATCTTTAAAGCCATAATACATTCACATTCACCAACGTTTCCAGAAGTCCATGCGGTAAGAAATAAGGGACTGTCTACATTAAATATTAGTTTGATGACTAATGTAGGGTATGATTATATTTTAGATGCTTCATATATACAGCCAAGATGCCACTGAGGAAGGGTGTTCTGATTTATGTTCATCAGAAATATGCAAGATTGCCCATTTCCCTAGCCACGCCAACACTGAACACTAGCATGGTTTTTAATCTATGACAGTTCAATAGTACTATTCAATTTGCATTTCTTGGATGTTGAGCACCTGTTCTGTTTCCTTACTTATGAAATACAGCTAAAAGTTATATCTACCTACTAATGTAGACATGAAGGTTGATACGTAAAATTCTAAAAACAGGGCATAGCGTGTAGTATATATTCAGTAAATATATGCTTTTTTCCCCCAGCTTTATTTTGTGAATTTCTATTCTTGCCCTTTGCCTAGTGTCTATTTTATTCTTGCCCTTTGCCTACTGTCTATTTTAGTCCATTTCTTATTGATTTATCCTAAGGAGTCTGTTATCATGGAAAGCTATTAACTCCTGGTCTATCACATTCTATTACTTCCCACAATTTGTCATTAAACATGTTGTCTATCGTTCCTTTTTAATAATATATGACAAATATATCAATATGGTTTTTATCTTGGGTTCCAGAAAGGCCTGGTCCTCCTCAAGTTTATATTGATAATCACTTAAGATTTTGCTCTAGGGCTTTAATAGTTCTAGTTCTTTACATTTGATTCTTTTTTAAAAAAATATATATTTTATTGATTTTTTACAGAGGCAAGAGAGAGGGATAGAGTTAGAAACATCAATGAGAGAGAAACATCGATCAGCTGCCTCTTGCACACCCCCTACTGGGGATGTGCCTGCAACCAAGGTACATATTTAATATAGCCACTCAAGTGAAAGTTCCATGACTTTTTATTCCTGTGACAAATCAGAGCAGGCTAACTCTTCATTCTAAAGGTCTTTGGCCCTCAGTCTTTCTACTAAGCAATGCCCAGAATATGTGATCAAGCTTCATAAGCTTTCAGCCACTATTTTACTCAATTGTTTCTTCTTACTGCTATTTTTCCTTCCTCTCTACCGCCACAGGGTAAAAGCAAAAATACTGAATTGGTGGAAGAGCATGTCACCTTTGTCACTTCTCCCAGATATCAACAGAAAGCACACTTACCGTTAGGTCAAGCTGGCCGTTCCGTGTCGTGATGGACAGTTCAATGGTGGACAGCTGCATCTCTCTCCAGACTTCAGGGTTTACCTCCTTGGAAATGCCTGTGTTAATGTATTAGACACAGGTCAATTTATCCCATTAACATTTCACCTTCCACCGCCCACGGCCAGATGCCAGCTGCTAGCTGACCTCCGCTAGTCTGCTAACTCCACCTTTTCTTCACTGCATACTTCTTACACATGGGATAACGTGCCAGGCTCAGAATGAGTCTCTGCCTGAAACATCCTACCAACACAGCCAGAAATACATAAAGGTCAGTGACAGAAAGAGGGAGCCACTATTTGTCTCAAATGTCCCTGGGTGTCCCATTCACAGGACATTGTACTGGCTTGGGCCCTGCTGTGTGGCGCACAGAAAGCTGACTGCAATGGCCTTGAGAGGCATCTGCTCCAGGTCAGCCTGAAGTTGATTTTGGAGTCTGCTTCAGGCAAACCTGAACCGACCAGAGCTCTCAATCTTCGACCACCTGCTCACCGTCCTGCGGTTGTGCCCAGTACGATGCAAGTCTTCGCAATATTCTCCGGTACAGAGAGGGCCGTGGAGGGGTCTCTTCTGCTTCACTGGGAGGTCTCTCTTTAGGTCCCGTGTATGAGATAGAGGCTTGATGAGTCTGAGGCCACTCCTTTTAAAGTGAAGAGAGAAAAACATTTGTCATGAACACATGGGAGTTTCTCTATGCAAAGGTTAGTATTCTACACCTGCTAGAAAGCCAACTAATATCTTTAAAATATATTTTATTGATTTTTTTACAGCGAGGAAGAGAGGGAGATAAAGAGTTAGAAACATCGATGAGAAAGAAACATCGATCAGCTGCCTCCTGCACACCCCCCACTGGGGATGTGCCTGCAACCAAGGTACATGCCCTTGACCAAAATTGAACCTGGGACCCTTCAGTCCTCAGGCTGACATTCTATCCACTGAGCCAACCCGGTCAGAGCACCAATTTCTCACTGGATGGAACTGTCTCTAATTTGGAGTATGGAATCCTCAGGTTTTCTTTTCCTATTAAAGTCCTATCTTGAAAACCATGAATTCAGTGACTGCTGCCTCCACTGATCTGTCATGTGGAGAATAGAGGAGATCAAAATAGATTTCAACAATTGTTTATACTTGTCCACAAATCCCAATAAGAATGAGCATAGAATCTACCCAGGACAAACTTATCTTTGGTATACTATTATGACACATAAAAGAAACTGAAGAATTCAGTTGCATCAATACTTTCTTCACTTTTGGAATCATCTTCCCCACAGCTGCCAGAATGATGCAGCCCAGCCTTGCAACCCAGTTCCAGGCTCCTCCTGCTTCAAAGACCATCATGCTCATACTCTAGATGTTTGTCTTCTACTTCCTGCACCCCAAGTCCAGTGTCGTCCTGGGTTTCAACAGTGTGCACAGGACAACTAAAACAACAGCCTAGCCCTCAACATCACCTCTCATTCACCACAGCTGCTCATTTCCACAGCTACATCTGGTCCTTCCTGTCACCCAAAATTATTCCATCTTGGGCATCTATACCCCAGTAATCATACCCCACAATTTACTTATCTGGTTGATTCTTTTGTGCCCAATTTATCTTTTTGGGCAAACTAATCCCCGTTCTCAAGTTTTCATGGGTGAATTACAAAAGAGAAACAACTCTGATTTTTCTCACTCCACCTCTTACTTCTCCTCAATGCATTGACCCAGCCCCTCACACATGTGTTGCTTTGTCACTCAATGAGTTCACTATGGCAGTCTGCCCTAAAGGAGATGAATCAAATGGATAAATTCCGTTTGGGGTATTGATAAATCAGACAGTGACCACACATCCCAGCTGTGAACATCACTCCTGCTGACATTTCTAAAGCTAATATTTTCATCTCCATCTGCCTGTTCCTGTATTTGTTTTTATAACATGATTCAAACTCAGAAGAGGAAGAAAGGGAAGTTATTTTTTGGCCCCTCAAGATCCTGCCCACACCCAAGTTTTCTATCACACGGAGAAGTCCAGTCCCTGACCACACCATTTTCCCTCAGCACCTAATTGTCAGTGAATTACTTTAATGCTCTTCTCCCATCATTTTGGCCTTCTCATGTCTTTAGTCTTCTACAATACATGCTTTAAGAAACTCCAATTCTGTATCAATCTTGTCACTAGGTTTCTGAACTACTTGATCAGGGCTCAGAATTATTGGAGGGGGAAAATATTCCTGCTAAGCATTGACACAGGGAAAACAATCACCCAGGCAAGCATATTTGTGCCACAACCAATTTTTGGTCTCAGTTCCTTAATGTCACTGGATAATCCTCCTAAACCTCTCTATTTTCTTCATCTTTAAATTCCCCATACCATCATCACTATCACCACCTCATTTTCAATAGGTCACATTGCTTCCTACACTTCAGAGAGAATACCAGGATCTCAGTAAAAACTGCCTTAACTCTCCCTGTTTGTTTTCATCTGGACCACTCCTTCATTTCTTTCCTGTCTCAAGGAAGAAGTGTCTCTTCCTCTGTCCAAGGCTAATCCAGTACTTTAGATCCCATGCCCTTATACCTGCTCATGGATTCTGCCAACTCAGTCATGCTATTTCTCTTTCATTCACCTCTTCCCCTCCCTCCCTTTCCCCCCTGTTGCTTCATGGTATAAAGACATGCATATCTTTCCATCTAAAAAAATCAACACTCCTTTGATCCAATTTTTCCCACTAGCTTTTGCCCTCCTCACTTCCCTTCAAAGTCAAGCTTCTTAAAAGAGTTGCCTACCCTTGGTGTCTCCACTTTACCTTCCTGTTTATTCCTTGATCTTCTTCAGTATGGCTCAGCCCTTCCACTTACCAAACCTTCAGAGGTTACCAAATTCAATGGTTACTTTTGTCTTTTCTTACTCTTTGCTATTGAATCTTGAAATCTCACTTTCTTCCTGAAAGTCTCTCTTCCATTGGCTCTTATATCAGTATTCTCTCCTTCACTTCCTCTGAGCACTTCTCAGGCATCTTCCCTGGTTCCTAAGGGCTATTTCTGACCATCTATTCTCTCAATAGTAACTTCACCAAACCCACATTTAAATGTCTGACGCTACTCATATGTGTCAGACATTTAAATTATTTCTTCAGCCCACATCTCTTTGCTGAATTCTATACCTAAGTCACAACTGTACCTCCACTTGTCTGACGAAAGGTATGTTAAACTCAGTATGTGCCAAACTGAAAATTTCATCTTCCTTCACCAACTTGATCTTAAGCCAATAATATCAACATTAATGGAAAGCTTTTAGTTACCAAACTGTGGTCCATCAAACCATAAATCTAAGAATCCTAGACTTTCCAACTTTGAGGATTCCACTTCAGTATCTCTTTAATCCATCTCTGTTGTCAATGCCCACTGTTACCACCTCAGTCTACACCTCATGATCACTCTCACTCAGATTACTTTAAAAAATCTTCTGATGCCCTTGCCTTTAGCTACCCACACAATCTCTTGTCCTCATAGCTGCCAAAAGATTTCTCTAAAATGCAGATCTGCTCATGTTATTTCCCTAAGACTCAATAAGTCCCCACCAGTGCTTTATCAATAAATGTCAAAGTCCCTTTCCGGCCATGCTACTGCCATATGAAAGACCAGGTTTCGTCGCTGTGACTTCAAACATCCTGGCGCTCCCCCTCCTCCCCCAAGAACGCCCTTTATCCAGTCCTACAGATACTTCAATATTTAGAAGTGGCACCTGCCCTGTGAAGACTGCTGCTCTCAGAGATGGGCACCCTCCTCTCTCCCCCATCTTAGTCCTTCTATGTTTCTCTCATCACACTTGCCAAATTGGTTTACTTGTACTTCACTCTCAGCACATGCATATTTCTTGAAGGCAGAAACCTATCTTATTGGACTCTGCATTCCAAGCACATAGAAGGGCTTGCCACACAACAGATATTCAATAATTGCTTGATGAAGAAATAGTTGGAATAGTTTGATTCTCTCAGGTTCTACAACTTAACTATATAGTTACTAGATTTCTTTCTAAATGGACTCATTATTCCACCAATGAAATGATTCCTGTGAGCAATAGTAATTATGCATTTTATTAAAAGAAATTTATTTGAAAGGTAAAGGGAGCAATGTTTTGCAATGGACATATACTACCCCCTTAATTAGAAAACCACATGATAATCTGAATATTAACATACCTAAACTTTTCACTTCATCTGCCTGTTCTCAGATCAGCCAGTCAAATTGTGAATATACTACTTTGATTTGTATAAAAGCTGAACACTGTGTAGTCCACATGTAAGGATGATACATATTAGTATTTTCTTTCACACACACTGTTCAGTTTTTCTCCATGTGAACGTTTTTCAGTATAAAGTCTAGAGCAGCACACTAATAGAACCTCCTCTGGGGATGGAAATGTCCTATATCTGGACTGACCAATACAGTAACCACCACCCCTATTGGGTTAGCATGGTTTGAAACCCGTTATATTACAATAGTGGGAACTTAATTGAGTCTTAATCAGGGAAATATATCAAACCTGTATGATAATATATATTCAGACACAAATCTTCATTTCTAGATACTAATTCAAACATGCAAATGATTGATGAGATATAGGTCATTCTGTTCAAGGTCTGACCAGAGAAGAGTGAATGAAGAGACAAAGGAAAGTAAAATATAAAAAAGAAATTAACGCCTGGACAGTGTTGCTCAGTTGGTTAAGTATTGTCCCAGACACAAGGAAGTTGCCAGTTGAATTCCCAGTCAGAGCACATGCCCATGTTTCAGCCTGATCCCCAAAAGCAGGTGTGCAGGAGGCAGCTGATCGATGCTTCTCTCTCACTGATTTTTTTTTTCCTCCTCTCTTCCTCTCTCTGAAATCAATAAAAACTTATTAAAAAAATTTTAATAGAAAATTTTAATAGAAAATGGTAATGGAAGGAATGAGTTGGTACACGAGAAATGCTTTCTGAACTTGTATGTAAGTAAATATCCCCCATTTTAATACTAGAGCATGTCAGATACATCTGTCAGATACAAATAATTTTTAAAATATCCAAATATACACATTCTGCTATAACAAAATAACATAGGGAACATTTCTACATTATAAACTGCATTTACCTTAAGAGTGCTGAAAAAATGTGCTGCTTTGGTTTTTAGGGGCCCAAGATACCAGTACCTGAGAAAGATCAAGATAAAAATCTAATTAGAATATTAAAGGAATGATCAACATGATAGAAATTACACCCCTACTAAGAGTGTCTGCTGAGGCCTGGGGATTATGGCTCAGCATAAAAGAGTATTATGGAACATTTTAAATCTGAATTTCAATGCCATGTCAAACAGTATGCAATTAGTTACACAGGAGATAGATCCTTGCAATTTAGGAGGGATATATAATCAGAGTCTCCTTGAATCTCCAAATTCATAAGTATCGCTGTAATGCATCCTTAACCACAGAATATAGCTGAGTATACATCCAAGGAGCACTGAGTAATGCATGACAAAGCCACAATGAGATGCAATGCTGGTGACCTGATGTGTTACCCACAAGCTAAATGTGTCTTCTTCACACAAACATACCATTAAAATTTATGAAGCAACATAATTTCACATTGCTCGTGTTATGCAACTTTAAAACAGCAAATATAAAACCTGGGAGTGAAGAGGGTCTACTTCATATTGCGAAATACATAAAAGCTGCTGAAGAGAGAAAGGTGCCTCCTTGGAATTGGAAAAGTGGTAAAAATTAGATTCCTCTTAAAATTTATATGTTACAACCAGCCCATCTTAACTGCTCCCTATTTGATTCTCATCAATACGCATTTATTTAGTGGCTCTGGAGAAAACTAAAGAAATGTAGAGTATAAATTCCTGCATTTGAGGGCTTATAATCTGAGAAAATATAGCCCAAAAAAGTAACAGAAAATAGTAGACAACTATATAAATATATAGGATACCATATAAACTGATCACTATTTATTGGAAAGGAGAGTCAAGAAGGGACAGAAATCATTAAGGGCTTAAAACCACTGGAACAGCCATGCTTGTATAACAAATGGCACGAGCACACAGTATAGCGTGTATTTTAGAAAGAGGCACTGGACTTAAGAGACATACGTGATGGAGGAAAAAACTCATTCTAGGCAAAAGGAGTGGCCAGGGTGCAGGAAACGTTGAGGATAAGAGCAGAGCAAAAGCTTAAAAGGAAATATATATAACTGTGCAATCAGGGGTGGTGATGGACTAAGGTGGGCCTTGAATGCAAGACTGAGGAGATAATCCAGGGAGCCATGGGGAGCCATGCTGCTAAGCATTTTTCAGCTAATGTTATGATTTGCTTTGTCTCCTGGATAGCCAGATAGAAATACATCCGATGAAGGCATTTTATTTCCAAATGTCTGCAGTTCCCTTCATATCTACCAAGAGCAAATTTTGTCACTATGCTGGTCACCTTGCATGACCAGTTAAAAGTCATTTCTTGCCCCTTCTGTGTTTCCTCATACGCAGAGCAATTGAGAGGATGGTCCTAGTTGAGGTATTACATAACGAGTGGAATTTTAAAATCCATTGTTCAGAAATCAATCAAAATATGGGCATGTGTGTGAGTTCTAAAAGAGGCTGACCTATGCTTGTAACTATAGATCAACATACTTGAAAGCAATTTGTCCTCACCAGACTCTTTCTGGGAAAACTAAGCTATTCGTCTCAGTGAATTGCTGATATTATCTGACATTACAGATCAAGCACAAGGTACTCCTAGCAGACTTGCAAATAAAAAGATGGGAACTATCAAATAACGCAGATTCAAACAATACAGAAACATCTCTGTTGACATTCCAGTGTTGGGAACATCATTAGCAGGAATAATGAGTGAACAGCAAGAGAAATCTGCAGAGAAATTGTGGCAGGAATGCCCATGAAGTGAAAGTAAAGCTGTGTGTGAGATCCATCCTAATCCATTCAAACTATTCTGAAATTGTAAGCCTGTTTTTTGGAAAGCTCAAAATCAACACCCACCAGATGTGACATGAGCCTCTCACAGCGGCTCTCTGGGTCCCGTCTCAGGAGACCTCTGCCTGCCCTTTCCTTCCCCCTCAAACAGACAGGATGCAGCCATTTTTCCCGGCCAAGAGTTCCATGTTACACATGAATTTTCCAAAAGTAAGTCCATTCCCATTAAAAGCCAGCGATGGCCCTCTAGTCACTGTCTCAACAGGCCTGTTCCTTCCATCTACCAACAACCAAGCAGCCACCTTTCCTTCCAAGAGGCAGCCTGTGGTCTCCCAACCTGCCAGCCTTCCAAGAGAGCTCTCAGGGAGTCCTCCAGCTAGGGCTGGGGAAGCTGCCGAGGCTGTGGCCCAGCAGTGCCTGTCACTTGGTAACAGATAAGCAGGTGCAAAGTGACAAGCCATTAGTTCCCCTTCAGTCTAGAGTGAGACTGAGCACCTCTAGAAACAGGTCCCCCCGCTCCTTGGCCACCACCAAGCCAGCGTGGAGGAAACCAGAACTTCCCCCAACCTTTGGGCACAAGATGCAAACCTCTGACTATTAATCATAGGTAAGTCAACCTGCAGACCCATCACATCTATTCCTGGAAGATCAATGTATAATGACACTTTAGAGACAGGAACAGAATAAAAAGATTTCAAAAAAGTCATCACAATCCATACAGTAATCCTTTACTTGCTAATGTTGACACCGGCATCTCTGAAGGATCCCCACCGAAGGCCAGTCATCGCAAACACGGGCTGTTCCTTTTCACCCTGAAGTAAAACACATGTAATTTAAAATAATGCTGATAATAACTTGGAATTGTCTACAGGTAAGTACCCTGCAAATGATCACAGCCTACTTTTCATCAAACCAATTCTAAAAGGATGTTCACAATTTAAGAAATCAATTCTGTGAGTGTTCAGGAAAAGTACTTGAATAAACCATACTCTAAATGAAATCTTTATCTATTAGATATCATAAACCAGCTGGCAAGGGGACATGTTATCATACTTCAGCCTGGAAATTAAGGAGTACCTAACTATTCTGGTCCCTGGACCCTTTAGATGTCGGGTCTGCCAGAACTTCTGCTCATACACCTGCTTGAGCCCCAGAGGATTTGAGCATCCCCTTTAAAAGGACAGGGGCTCTCAAGTAAAATCAAAATCCTGGCACTCTAGAAGAGTTCACCTGAATATGTGAAAATACAGCCATCTGCTTGTTGTAGTAAATCAGAACACAAAGTGATTTGAATTTGGTCCAATGCTTTATGGTGAAATATTGCACATCCATATTATAATCAGCAAGTTTCCAGTAAGTCAGTGAGATAAGCTATGCACAGAAAATATACACAATGGAGCCACTTCCGAGAGTTTATGCTCCATGATGGACTTTCCTTAAAGTATGAATATATATAACAAGATATATAATAAAATCATTTCCAGTTAATTCCTAGTTACTCTGGAATGCATTACTCCTCACACTTGGTACCAGATAAGCAGGTGCAGGGTGACATTAGTTTAGAGAGAGAGGAAAGGAGAGGGAGAGAGAGAGAAACATCAATATGAGAGTGAAAATATCTATTATCAATCAGTTGCCTCCCAAACACATTTCGATTGGGGATCCAACCTGAAGCAGCAAACTTTAAAATTACTCAATTATTAAGATATGTCCATATTCACCTTCTTGAGTAATAATATTTTAAAGTATTTTCATAGATGCTGATCTGTAGTAACTTTGCTAGGTTAGAATTTTAGCACAGTCCTTCCATTTTGTGAGAACAATTTAGCTTTATTATATGCCAAAGACTCAATTGGAACTTAAATTATGTTTATTGTAACCAATGAGGTGGAGAGACCAAATAACAAGAACAATGCAAACTCATGGGTTCAACAATTATATAATAAATATACCTACAGTCTACACCAGTGGTTGGCAAATTGCAGCTCATGAGTCATATGTGGCTCTTTGGCCCCTTGAGTTTTTAGCAAAGGCCAACTTAGGAGTACCCTAATTAAGTTAATAACAATGTGACTACCTATATATTTTAAGTTTTAAAAATTTGGCTCTCAAAAGAAATTTCAATCGTTTTACTGTTGATATTTGGCTCTGTTGACCAATGAGTTTGCCTACCACTGGCCTACACTATATAGCTAATAGTAAAATTTAGGATGGTAGTTATATTAAGGCATATGTTCCCTTTGTAATTACTAAGTAATCTGTGATACTGTAAGAATATTTGTTCCCCAACAACCATTTATCTAATAGTTTTAGCAGCTATTGAGGATCTCTGCCTGAATCAATGACTTCAGGGCGATTACAAAATGGTAATTCTCTCACTCTATCATTCCTTCTGTATTTACTAACTGGCAACTACTCTGTAATATCACTATGGATTTTTCATTTTTACTTAATGTATTGTCCATTGCATTATACTTCTTTTTAATGTTCCAAATGTTCCAAAATTGGCCAGTTGGGTACCATCAGTCTGTCTTCTATATCTTTGTGTTGCCTCTTTTAGTTTCTGAGTACTTCCTTGTCCTGCCTCTGAAAGCCAGCCATTCACAGAGTCCTGATAACATCTTAGAGAATGGCTTTACAGACCAGAATTTGGGTGCCAGGATGCTGACTGCTTTGGGTGTTACTGGTTCTAAGCAATATACACTGAATGGCCAGATTATTCTGATCTCTGAATGCATAATAATCTGGCCACTCAGTGTATATCCTATATAATAAAAGGTTAATATGCAAATTGTCCCCTCAACCAGGAGTTGGACCAGCAGCAGGCAGGCCAACCGACCATATCCTCCCCCCCTGGCCAGGCTGCCCGGACCCCCCACCCATGCATGAATTCATGCACTAGGCCAACTTAGGAGTACCCTATTCTCTCTCTCTCTCTCTTTCTCTCTCTCTCTCTCTCTCTCTCTCTCTCTCTCTCTCTTTCTCTCTCTCTCTCTCTCTCTCTCTCTCTCACACACACACTCTCACACACACACACACACACACACACACACACACACGCACGCACGCACTCTGAGTGGCCAGATTATTATGCGTTCAGAGATAATAATCTGACCACTAAGTGTATATGCATAGCTAGCAAATATATTTCTAACACAATTCATGAGTTCATCTACAAATCACTCAGAAAGCATGAGACAGCCCAAGAGAAAAATGGGAAATTCTGCTCTCATCTAGGATATAGGAAGTTACAAAGAACATTGTTCCAGTCCTCAAAATGAGGAAAAGCCAGATAATCTAACAAAATCATAATACTTCTTATGCCCACCTGCAGATTGAGATTGTAAGACAACCAAGTAACCCAAATTCCAAAGAATGACAAGCCCCAGAAAAGGACAGATGGAACAAAAAAAGGATTTTACTATCAGCAGAACAGGGGAGAAAGAGGAGGCCACCATGCAAATAGGTAAGATGAAATCAGGCCCTGTCCTAAGTGCTTTATATTTAATGGCTCTTTTTATTCAATTTAAAAAAAATCCTTACCCAAGAACATGCTTTAAACTAAAATTAATTTGAGAGAGAGAGGGAGAGAGAGAAACATTGATGATGTGAGAGTGAAATATTGATCAGTTGCCTCCCATGCACATCTTGACTAAGGATTTAACCTGAAACCTGGGTATGTGCCCTGACTAGGACTGGAACCCACCACCTTTCAGGGTATGGGACGATGCTCAAACCCAGTGGTTGGCAAACTGTGGCTCGTGAGCCACATGCGGCTCTTTGGCCCCTTGAGTTCTTAGCAAAGGCCAGCTTAAGAGTACCTTAATTAAGTTAATAACAATGTACCTACCTATATAGTTTAAGTTTAAAAAATTTGGCTCTCAAAAGAAATTTCAATAGTTGTACCGTTGATGTTTGGCTCTGTTGACAATGAGTTTGCTGACCATTGCTCTAACCAACTGAGCAACACCAGTCAGAGCTATTAGCTCTTTTGATACTCAAAACAGCCATGTGAGGCAGAGAAATATTTGAGGTACCAAGTTAATCAATAAAGGAACTAAAAATAGTGACAACTATACTGGGAGGAGATGCAGAGCAATTCTCATGTATAACAAAGAGGCCAAGAGATAAGGTCTAAAATTTATAAGTCAAAAACTAGTATTGTATACTTAACAGTGCTGAACTGGACACTTAAAAGTGGTTACGATGGTAAATTTTATGTATATTTTAACACAATTTTTAAAAATAACATCATAAGCATATTTATTTGTGGTGACTAGAATAAGCAGGCAAAAATTGTTTTCTCTGGGAAGTTATAGTTGGGGTAAGAAAGGGTAAGAAGAGGGCCTGCAGTCTTCATGATCTCATTTGAAATGTTACATTTTGTTTTCTTTATGTGTATTATTTTGTTAATATTTTCAAACACAAGAAAGGACTTACTTTGATCTGCAAGACATCAAGTGGGACAGTCTCTCCTTTTACAATGGCAAGTGTAGCATCAGTAATATGCCTGGAAGATAAGAAGGAAATGGTCACATTGTGAAAAATAAGCAACAGCTCCCCCAACACACACACACACACACATACACACATACACTCCCACCCACAGTAATAATTGGCTAAGGAAAAAAACACATACTTCTTCAAAAGACTGAGAACACTGAACAAGAAATATAAAAGAACGACTGACACAAACATAGTGGAAGGTCCTGACATAGCCCTGTAGGCCTCCCCATCGGTGTGGTCAGGCTGAATCACATCCACTTTAATGAGTATGGCTAACAAAGTTAGATACAACTTCAGAGACCTTAAAACCCAAGAACATACACATTAATGCAAATGCTTAGATTATATTCTGGGTTCCTTAGTAAGCAAGTTGGGACATAAGATACAACGTATTTTACTTTCTCATATTTCTTTATCACAGTGCCTTTACCCCATTTTTCCCTTCCAACACAGATACTATCTATGAAGTGGATAGCAGTTTAGAAAATAAGATTCAATTTAGGAAAAAGCAAGATGCAGTACCACAAGTTTAGATGACCCCGATGTGATATGTTAATTGTGAAGGAAGTCAGTAGGAAGGGTTGGAGTCACTGTATGTATTCTGCGTAGTATAATAGTTAGCACACTGCGAGGGTTTAGGAAGTGCTTCTGAGAGACTGACCTTAACAACAAATGTTGCAACTATTATTAAAAAAAAAAAAAAAAAAGCCTTCTTATATTATTATTTTTTCAAAATTGCTTGGCAGAAGACAGCTAAAACACAACCTAAATTTATTCTCCAGCAACAACTGTCAAGTTCTAAACAGATCAGCATCGTAGCATGTTACAGCTATTTTTTTAATGATAATTTACCTGCAATCTTCAAATCCAAGATTCCTTCCACACTAATTGTAGGACAGCAAATCTTGACAGCAGTACAAATCTTGACAGCCTGTTCTTACCAATAGCCTCAGGCATCTGCCATGTTCAGAGTCCACCCAATTCTGAACGCTGGGCAGACTGACTTAATTACCTAAGAGCCCTGGGGGGTGCTCTGAATTATGTTTCCTAAATCTTTAAATTAGCGCTAGAAGTAGCAACATAATAACTACAGGGGAAAATCAGCTCCCAGAGCCAAAGGCTATGAAGACCTTCAGGGTGGCCACGCTGGGCACAAACTGGCAAGGGGTTCTCCGAGGACATGGGCTCCCTCCTGATCGGTGATATATTTGAGAATGTTGGCTCTGCAGTTCAAATAGTCACTATGGATACAAAGGGAAAGACTAGCTCTCTACAGTAACCAAGACCTAAACCAGATGGGGTTTATCTTGGGTAAACAAAACTGTTCGAGTCATTCATTGCCATGTCTACTGCCCCAGAAATTCTAAGCTGGGATTGAATGGACAGTGAATTGAAACGGGCTTCAGCATGACTGTGAGGAGCTAAACACCCCCTATTAGTTAAAGTTTGACACGCTTCAATGAAGGCTCTGATATATGTCTATGTTTATGGCTAGTGTTTGATATTCGAACCCAGGTTTTTATAAAAAATAGAGAATGTATAGGATTAAAAAATATAAAATGACTTCTAAAATTACAGTAGCAAAAATAAATCTACAAAACAAGCCTAATCCAAATATGGAGAAGAAAATGAAAGAAAATCACCTGCGTATCATTATTGCTATTGATTCTAAAGGTTGATAACCAAAAACATAAGATTTTAATTAATTCATTCCACAAACATTCTTCAGCTGACCGTCCCTAGGTTTCACCAAGCTTAGGTAAAGGTCAGGCAACTGACCAGGAGAGCCTGGGAACCATCTGCTCCAGTTCATGTTAATCCCTAATTCAAGCCTTGAACTCATCATGATTCCTATCTCCCCAGAAGACAAGGGCTTTCCTACACAATGCTTTGGATGGAAATGAACAATACAATTTGCCCAACTCCTGAAGACACTGATAGACTCACAGCAATTTAATTTAGACGTCAGGGCTACACTGCTCGCCCTGCCTGCTGTATCCATACACCTTCCACATCAGGCGTTCCCCATAGGATGTGACTGAATTTCCTTGTTTTAGCTACTTATACAATCAAGATAATGAAGCCACGGCTACTGGACCCATTTTTACAAGGGACTTGCTATTAGTCATCGGGTATATTTAAAGCAAACAAATGATTAGTGCACATCTGTTTTCACTAGGGAATCTTACAATGCAAAAAAGTATTAAAAGAGTTTGAATCCTTATGACAAAAGGATTTCAGTATTCACCTCCATACCTGACCTGGAAACTTCATGTCAGATCACCAGGGTCCCACAACCCAACAGGGAAACTTCCCAATGAACTGACAGGTTAGTCTCTGATCACCAGGGTCCCACAACCCAACAGGGAAACTTCCCAATGAACTGACAGGTTAGTCTCTGATCTAGGTGTTCTCAATGATTTGAGGATCCACGCTATCAAAACTGAACACAAATATCATATCCCACAGGGGAACCACCCATTCCCAGCCTTGCTCAGCCACAAATGCCACATCCCACAGTGACAACATACTGGACTTTGTTTCCACTTTCGGCAAAAAGAGTCTGACTCAAACTACTGGTCTGCCCCAGTGGGATAAATCCAATGGGAATCTTGCTGAAGGCAGCCTGGGAGAAAGAAGAGGAAAGTCATGGTCAGAAAAGCAGGCTGAACAGAGAGGCACAGATATGTCTACTATGAGACAAGTAACTGAAGTGACCTGGGCCCACCTCCCTGTGTCCCTTCCCAGGCTCTGGACCAGCAATTGGACCAAGCCTAGTGCAATGTCTAAAAGGAGGCCGTCCACGAAAATGACAGGACTTTGAATCTGAAAGAAATATTTTGGGGCTCATTAATAGCAATTGCTTTAACAAAATCTGGTAAAAAAAAAAAAAAAAAAAAAAAAAAGGAGGGTTTTAAAGATATTAAATGGATGCACATTTGTGACAGTGTATTATGTTGTCACATTTGAAAAAGTTGCAGATAAAATTCAACTAAAAATATCTAACATATATACAGTATCCGATGACAGGGAAAGTGCTTTATAAACTATCTCGAGTATAACTAGGGCAAAGGGGATCAGCAAGTTTATGTAGCAGAAAGTAATGGCACAGCCACTGAATTAAATGCCACAAAGAGACACTGTAAGGCCCTAAAGACTATGTTGAGGATGATCTATTATCCTCAAAGGGACCAGGAAGGGTCTTCTTTCTTATTATTTGCAAAATATTTTAAACTGCTGTAGAACACTCATACACCCATCACCCAAATTTAACAAATGTTTTTGTTTCAGATGTTTTAAGGAATAAAATGACACAGAAATAACTGAAGTTGTTTCTCATCCTATTTCTCTTTCCCTCTCTTCCCCCTCTCGCCGTTCCCCCCACTCCTCGCCCCCAGGAAGCCGTTATCCCAAGGCTGTGATGCCTTTCCACCCGTGTTGTTGCTCTTTTACTACAGCAGGCATCCACTAACGTATATCTGTTTTCTACATTTTAAAACTGCAGAAATGTATAATATACTTTGGCAGCCTACCTTTTTTACTTAATTTTTTTTTTTAGATTTCACCATGTAAATATTTATACCATAATTCATTTATAAAGGAATCCTCTGAAAAAGATTGTATAAAAAGTTGTATGTTTTAAACAACTCCTGGTGAAAGCTGTTGGGTACTCTGGATTCCCAGAGCAGTTAAGTCCGCCACGGACTAATAAAGGTATCCGAGGACACTGGCAGCCCCACGTGTCTTTCTAAAATCCAAGGACCCACACTTGTGCTGCCTTAAAATACAAAATGGGAGGAAAGGTAAAAGACGTAAAGAGATATAAAAAAAGCAGAAACATAAAACTAAAATGCAATGACTCTTCTTAAAAGCTCACCTCATCTGCTCTTCGAAGAACTCCAGTAACAACCTATAGATGTTACAGAAAAAATTATGAACAACGTGTATTTCTTTTATCATAAAAGAACTGGATACAATTTTTATGGGCCACAAACTTCTTCCTAGAAACTATGTCAACTATGCATTGGCTATGGAAGCACACAGTATTCTCCAATAGGATCACAGCTAACTTAAATATTATTGACTGAAGGCCCATAGTATAATACAATCAAGACTAAGGTACAATAATTATTTTTAAAAATATATCTTTATTGATTTCAGAGAGAAAGGGAGAGGAAGAGAGATAGAAACATCAATGACAAGACAGAATCACTGATTGGTTGCCTCCTGCACGGCCCACACTGGGGATCTAGCTTGCAACCCAGGCATGTTCCTTGATCAGGAATCAAACTCTGACCTCCTAGTTCATAGGTTGATGCTCAACCACTGAGCCATGCTGGCCAGACTCAGATAAAATAACTATAAAATCTCCACATTATATTAGCAAAATTATGTTTTAGTTCTAGAATATCGGTCTAAATGTGTGCTCACATCAACTGTATATATGAGCCTCATCTGCCACAATGAAGTGACATATAGGAAAAACACACCCTGTGGCTGCACTCCGAGATGCCTGCTCTCCACAAATGTTTCTCACTGATGAAGGTAAAGGCACGAGGGACAGTAGTCCCCCTATGAAAAGATACTTTTTATTTCAAATTTTACATAATTTATTTTTCATTTTAAAATATGGTACATATATTTTGTAAAAATGGAAAAATAGCTGAAGAAAAATTACTTCCTTATAAACCCACTATGCAGAATAACTATCATCAGTCATTTATATTTTGGTACATTGTCCTCAAATTCCTTTTTTATCAGGGTCTATTTTTATGACTGGATCATACAAATGCACAATTTGGTATATTTCTTAAAAAGATTCTGTAAAGTAAAGGCTAATGCCCATCTTCTTCTTTCATCTCCTGCCTTACTGCATTCTAGGATTAAATGAGGCTATCAGGAGGTCTCCTTCATTCTTTGTTGGCATGCTATCAGTATTTTCACACTTCATTAAAAAGCCATAAAAACAATTACAAGATCATTAGCACAACCTTTTGAAAGAAGCTTACTAAGGCTCACAAAATTGTTAAGTCAAAAATAGGACAACTTTGGCCGGTGTGGCTCAGTGGGTGAGTATTGTCCCATGCATCAAAAGGTCTTGGGTTTGATTCCATTAGGGCACATGCCTGGGTTGTGGGCTTGATCCCCAGTAGCTAGCATGGAGGAGACAGCCGATCTATGTTTCTCTTTCTACCCCCGTCTCCCTTTTTTTTCTCTAAAATCAATAAAAACAAAGTTAAAGAAACAAACACATAGGACAGTGCCCTGTCTGCGGTGAGCTCCTGATTCCTGAACATGAAGAAACCACCAAATGAAGGCAAAAGGCAATCAGAGAAGAGGTGTAGATGTGAATTGTACACAGGATGGGAAGGTGAGTGGAAGGGCTGCCTGTGCCAGGCTCATCAGGGGTTTCCAATATATAATGGAGGTTCTAAGCTATTGCTCAGAAAAGAAGAGCAGTTCAGGACAATACACTTCCTGTCCTTATTGGACCATAGTAAGGTCTAAGGATATGGAACTTCAGAACAAAGGTAGATGCATACATCTGAACATGGAGACCTCTGCCGCCTCATGTGCTCTCAGGAGATGAAACGTGATAGAAATGAAGTGAAAATGGACAGATGCCTATCTTAAAGGATTCTGTATTTACTTTTATAAGAAACTTTCCTCATAATTGAAACTATGATTGTCATAACAGTCTTTAGAATATAAAAAGCTTACCATACCCACCACCATTTTATTTCCTATTTTATTCAATTTTATCAGACTTTAAAAAAACGTGTATGAAGAAAAAGCAATGCTATACTTGTTTCAGAAACAATCCCAAAAAATGGATTACAAGGAAATAATTTCCTTAAATTATAACCCACTGTATGCCACTGCTCTAAGATCAACTTTCTATCTCCCTCACCCAAATGGTTTCACACAGGAAAAGAGCCATACCTCCTGCAATGTCCCATCTCCTCCGGCAACAATGATCACATCTGTGTTTTCCATCAGTTCTAGGAGTTTCTTGGCTTGGCCCTCATAGTCTGTCTGAAATACAAAGGAAGCCTTGGGTAATTTATCATCCTAGGGCCACTGGTAAAAGATTAAAAAATATAGTTACTTGCTCTAAAGTTTTACATTGAGTATTTTTTTAAAAATTCTACATAATTGATAGACATGAAACACTAAATAGCTAACAAAGCAACTCTGTCCAGTTTTTATAGTTTATACCTTTAGAACTGGAAGGGACCTCAGAAACCAGTCAGCTCCTTACTTGATTTATCTGTTAACAATAAGCTCGTCAGAGAACCCATTTCCAGTCCAGTGCAGTCTATGACATCATTTACTAGTGCCTTTATCTGAAAGCAGGAAGTACAAGTGCAAATAAGGAGAAGCAAATTGGATGAAGAGAGACATAGATTAAGTCTCAACTCTGCCACTTTTTAGCTGAGTAGCCTTAAACTCTCAGATTTTAATTTCCTAATCAATGAAAGTATGTGTGTTAGGAGAGGGGATAATCATAGCTTCCCCATAATACCATTGTAAAGCAACTAGCAAAGTAACTGCTCATAACTGGTCCTGTACTAAATCAAAGGAGGTTATTACTGTACATAGGAATATTGTAGATAAAATACAGGTATGATTCAAATTAGTCAGGATGCACCTAGGCATCATCATTTTTATTGATAATATTTTATCTCAGATATAATACATACGTAGACTTAATGGACCATCTAAGCCACCACCTCTAAAACCAAACATTGAATTTTAACAGATATAGTGCAACTAATGCTAAAATAAGGAAATACTCCCTCCATCTGATACTATACTACACCAATTGGTAAAAATTGAAGATTTGAATTTCAGATAGGCTAAAGCACCAAAGCCAATAAATCACAGTTAACACAAAGGAAAAAGGAAGTCCCTAAACTAACATGATTAATTTTATGATGAATGGTCCGACTTTGTTCTAAAAATTGGAATGACTGGTTTTATAATTATATATTTTCAAATATTTCATTAAAAAATATTTGAAATCCTAATTAAAAAAAATGGTTTGTGATAAATAAATAAATCCCCAAAGAAAGCCCCAGGCCCGATTGTTTTACTTGTGAGTTCACCAAAAATCCCAGGAACAATTAATAGTAGTGTTAAGTAAACATTCTATGATCTCTAATACAGAGTATGCACTACAGGTACTTAAAAAAATGTTAGTTCTTTTCCCCGTTCTTCCATCCTGGAGGCAGACAAACTAGAGAAGAGAATTCACCATGAAATGGTAAATTGGACTAAAGGACCTTCTACTCTGTTATTTACTGAAAATGTGCAATGTTAAAAATAGATTGTTCATAGACTTACCAACATGGTAACAGTGATTTTCAAATATGTACTTCTTGTACACACCACACACATATCACTTTAAAAAGCCAACAAAAGTAGAGTCTTTAAGCATCTTCTGAGACAACACAATTCCCTCAAAGTTATTTTTGTCACCTGTTTTCCTTACATAAATCATGCAAATTCTGAAGCTTTACCATTTAAATTCCTCACCAGAGATAATTCCTCATCAAAGAAAAAACGTTTAACTGTCTGTGGAACTCGCAAAAATTAAATTAATTATTCAGATTTGCAGCGGTTTTTTGTTTGTTTTTTGGAAAAAAACACAATATTTTCATCTTCTAAGAGACAATAATTCCACATCTTATCTTTACATGAAAGGAAATCAAGCTTATGCCTCCATCTAATCCTTTTCTGAAGATGAAAAGCTGACAATGCTTTACAAAGACAGAATTGCCTTAATTATCAGAACAAGTACACAACATTGATTGCTCTGCTCTTAAGTGATAAGTGATTTCTGCAAACAAGTCAGGAGAAGAGGCTATGTTACCAGGAGTAGGTGATGGGATCAAGTCGACACTCTGGGGCAGTCTCACCTTAACGACTGTCACATCCATGCCAGATAAGTGCAAAATTGGGGCAGCATTTTTTTCAAACAGAGTCCTTGCTTTGCTGTAGACAAAGAAAAAAGTACAAAAATTTTATCATGAGCTGTCAAGAGGATGAACAGAAAGCCAAACCACCTTCTTTAGTGTAGAACAAGACACAGACTAGGGAAGACTCATTGTTCAAATAATACTGAGAAATTAGTTTTTACAGATAGAAGCATAGACTCTCTCACTCAAGGGCCTTAGGAGTTTACTGTTTGTCTAATACAGTGTTTCCCAAACTTTTGACATATGTGTACCCCTTCTATAATTTTTGTAACGCTGAGTACCCCTCATACTCATGAGAACATAGAATTAGAGGCAGCTAAGCACAGTGCAGTGCATATCCCCACCAAACTCCGGTGCAACACGTACCCCCACCCAACTCTTCCCATACCTCTGGGGGTACATGTACCACACTTTGGGAAACACTGGTACAATAAACTCTTATCCATTTAGGATGCTTGTTTATTCCTCAAGAGCAGGGTTGGGAAATGTCTGGCCCATGAGCCATTTGGTCTGGCTCTGCCAAGGCATTAGAGGTGAGTTAGTTAAAAGTTTGACCAAATATAGTAGGCTAATCTTTAAGTTGATAATTTTGTCTGGCCCCCAGATGATATTATAAATATCCAAATGGCCCTTGGTAGAAAAAAAGTCCCCCAATCCTGCTCTAGAGAAGAATGTACATGGGATATGGCTTCGCTCAGGAAGCAATGTTTGATTCATTCAACAAGTATTTATTGAGTACCTATATGTGCTAGACATGTGTAGGAGCTGGAGATACCACATGACAAAGCAGACAATAATACTTGTAACCTAAGTATAATGTATTAAATCCTCAAGAAGCTTATTTATCTTCCAGTGGTAGAAGGAAGAAAATGTATTTACTATAACATTTTTCATATGCCCCAAGGGAACAGAGCGAACCAAACAGAATATTGCTTAATTCTAACCCAGTGGACACAACCTTTGGGTTTGAAGAAGCACATCATTTGTAACAATTCCAAGTACTATATCCATTTCTTAAGTCTTAAACCTGCAGTAAAGTCTCTAAAGAGCAATTTTTTTCCATGAAGGCCAAATTTCTGCTGGATGGGGAAAAGTTAGAAATTATCTAACTACAGGATAATCAGCAGCTTGCTCCAAACTTCCAGACACCACCAGGCCCTTCTGTGTGTTAACCAGCACTATGTGCACACCTGTCTTGGGAACGTTCCTCACAGCAAATGACTAGTGAATTACAAGACAATCTTCAGGACTAGACTTGATGCTTTGCACAGACAGACATCAAATCTTATGCGTCCTGAATTCCCTAGCCTCCAGGAGTATGTCTGGCACAGGTAGAACATATTTAGTAAGTATCTAATGAGTTAATAAACAAATGAATGAATAAACCCCATCCCAAAAATGCAGGCCCGTAAATTCTGAGGAAAAGGAAATGACATGATTGTGATGTCTTTAACAAGAGAAAACAGTTACAACAAAGCCCTTAGAAGAGTCTGTGTATTTTAAAAGCCCCATACACATCATTCCAATAGTGCTCTTGTCCAAGTCACGTAAGGATTTGAAAACACCTAGGAGTCAAAGGATGCAGAAGTTGCATAAAGTCCCCAATGGCATAGTCTCAAAGTAGAATAAAATCCCTGGAGAAATGTTTGGGTAAAAGACAGGTCAACTGATTAGTACTTTTAAAACAGTCAACTAGCCAAACATCTAACTTTGCATCCACATTACTCAGCTCTCTTAAAAAAAAAAAAAAAAAAAAAAAAAAAAAAAAAAAAAAAAAAAAAAAGTTTTATACTAGAAAGAGATGCAGAGATAGCCAGTAAGGATCATGGATAGACCAAACTCCATACCCACTACACTAAAGAGAACCACCACCAACGCAGACAGAACACAATATTTCCTATTATGAATTAAGTGGAAATTGAGAAGTTTGGATACATGTTCACAAGAACCATTCAAGAGAATATCTCAAACCCAGGGCCTAACTGAGCAGGTAATAAGCAAATTAAACAAATGCCCCCTATCTTTTCTGCTGCTATGAATGCTTAATAGAATGAACATGAAAAACTAAAAAAAGTTTCTCCTTCCCAGATCACCATTTCTGGACCTTAACCTGACAATAATGGGCTGAGGCAGTGATAATGCAAATATTTCTCCTTCCTGGGATGCTTTTATTACTAGATTGATAAGATCTGCTTGAAGTGGACTCGATCTACCTCTGAGAAGCAAGACTCTGGGAAAGTCTCAATCTGCTATATTCACGTACAGAAAATCTGTAAACTCCTTTATGTTGGCTTAAGAAGTAAGACTGGAACATTTGGACTTTATCCACACTTCTGTACTATGGGTACAGAAGATTTCTGAAATAAAAGTGAAGACTTTTTTTTTTTTCCTTCTCATGTTCCATATAAAAGGTTGAAAAACAGGTGCTACCAGTAAGAAATGCATTATTTATTATATAATTAAGGGTGAGACAGCACCAGAAATAAAAACTTTATATACCTGTAACAATTTCCAAATTCATACAAGCACAAAAAAATAATTACTCCTTAATGTATTATTTATTAATGCTAAACACACAGCCATTTAATTTCTTAAAGCTCTGTTGTATTTTTAAGCCAGTACATGATGAAATAGCTACACAACAAATTATTAATTGTGTGTCAGGGCAGAGTCAGGATGACAAAGAGTGCAATTTTGGTGAAAGCTTGAAAGAGGCTGGAGAGTTCCAGAGTGGCTACTTCCTAGGGCTGTGCAGGGATTCACCTGCTAAAGGGACAGTGACTTTAGGAGAGAAAACCTTTCCTTAGCCTCACCCTTAAAGAAAGATGCTACACTTTTAAACAATAATCTACCTTTAAAAATGCAAATATATTTATATGTAAAATGTTTTCATTTTTACATATACATATAGTTTTAATTTTTAAAAAATGTACATATCTCTTAGAAGTAAAAACTCAAAATAACTGATTATAGCTCAAAAATGTATTGTAATATATTTTCCTTCATCAGAATTAGCAAATTGCTAACTTACTAGGTTTCTAAAGGAATAGGACCTAGAATAGTTCAAGTAGGCAGCGGGAAGGGTGCCAGGAACTTCTGGGAAAGGTGGGAGAGCAAAGTAGAAATGTTGTGAACTCAGCTTACTGGTAAATAACACTAACAGCAGCTTATATTCCTTTTATCCACACTTACTATGAAATGTAAATAAGTCAAATATCTCAAAGGGATCATCACATTTAATCCAAAGGCACCTATTACATATGGTAATTTTATATGGGATGGGCTATTCTCCCATTTTACAAATGACTAAGCTGAGCATTTAAATTAAGTAGCTCCCACAGTGTCACACAGCAGAAAACAGTCTATAGATCTAACCCTTCCAACTATGAAGCCCACAGAGTTCTGTGGCATTCTGACACAGACCACCACTGACCACTTAGTTACCGTGTGTTGTGTTATGACCTGTTCAACTGTTGGTATTATTTAATAATGTGGTTAAACAAGAATGATCATAGGCATTATGACTGATGTGTTTATGGGGGAAGAAGTGGCTTTAACAATGCCAGGCAAATAGGGTTCAATTAGGCAGAGCAATGGAGACAATTTAAACAATCTATAGGTAAAATCTCAAACTGCTGAATTAAAAGAAGGCAATCTACAGGTAAAATCTTAAACTGCTGAATTAAAAGAAGGCATGACTTGTCCTAAGAGATTACTAGAGAGGCTTATTTCAGAAGCTGAAAGCCTTTCCTCTAAGATCAGGAACAAGACAAGGATGCCCACTCTCACCACTTCTACCATTTCTATTCAGCATAGCATTGAAGTCCAAGCTGCAGCAATCAGACAAGACAAAGAAATGAAAGGCATACAAAGGAGAAAGAAGTAAAACCCTCATCATTTGCAAATGACATTATACTACATATAGAAAAGCTGACAGATTCCACCCAAAAACTGTTAGAACTAATAAATAGCTTTAGTAAAGTTGTAGGACACAAAATCAATATATTGAATCCTACTGCATTTCTGAATACTACCGTGTTTTCCCAAAAATAAGACATCCTCCGAAAATAAGACCTACTTACAGGTTTCCTTCTGAGTGAAATATAAGGCATCCCCCAAAATAAGGCCCCCCTAGGCTAAACATGAGAGATTTGGTCCACCGATTCTGAAAGAAATGGAGTCACAAGAAATTCACCTGGAAATTCAGGAATTGGATTGTTATGATGATATTCCAGAAGATGATGACAAGATTGCCATTGAATAAATGAGTAAATTCTTGATACTGTAGGATTCACAGTTTGTCTGGTTTGTGTTGACAACTACCATATTACCGTACCGTATACAGGTAATAAATTTCCTTTATTTTCATTTAACAATAAACATGTACCATATTCTTCTTCATGGAAAAATAAGACATCCCCTGAAAATAAGACCTAGTGCATCTTTGGGAACAAAAATTAATATAAGACACTGTCTTATTTTCGGGGAAACCGGGTAATAACAAATAAGAAAAGCAATTCCATTCACAATTGCACTAAAAAGTATAAAATACCTAGGACTAAATTTAACCAAAGAGGTGAAAGACCAGTACACCAAAAACTATAAGAAAATGAAGGAAGAAATTAAACAAGATACAAATAAATGGAAGGATATACCTTGCTCATAAATGGAAAGGATTAATACTGTTAAACCATCCTTACTACCTAAAGTAATATATAGATTCAATTCAATCCCTATTAAAATAACAATGGCATTTTTCTCAGAATTAGCACAACTAATCCTAACATTCATATGGAACCACAAAAGACCCCAAATAGCCAAAATGGGAGGTATCATGCTCCCTGATATTAAAAAAAAAAAAAAAAAAAAAAAAAAAAAAAAAAAAAAATAATGGGAGGAGGTATCATGATCCCTGATATAAAACTATACTAGAAAGCTACAATAATCAAAACAGTACGATGTCAATGGTAAGATATGTACACATATAACACTGTAAAAAAAAATGAAAAGAAAAAAATTAGAAAAAAAAAAAACAGTACGATGTTAGCAAAAATAGACATACAGACCAATGGAACAGAACTCAGAACCCAGAAACAAGCCCACACATATATGGACAATTAATTTTCAAAAAAGGAGCCAAAAACATACAATGGAGAAAGGAAAGCCTCTTCAGTAAACGGTGTTGGAAAAATTGGAAAGCCACATGCAAAACAATAAAGCGGGACACTGCTATCAGGTATCATACATAAAAATTAACTCAAAATGGGTTAAAGACTTAAACATAACACCTAAAACAATAAAATATGTAGAAGAAAGCATAGGAACTAAACTTATGGACCATGGTCTCAGAAGGGTTTTTGTGAACTTGACACTAAAGGCATGAGACGTAAAACCAAAAATAAATGAATGGGACTACATCAAACTAAAAGGCTTCTGCACAGCAAAAGAAACTACCAACAAAACAAAAGACAACCAACTGAAAGGGAGAAGATATCTGCAAATGATACCTCTGATAAGGGGCTAATATTAATATCCAAAATATAAAAAGAACTCATATAACTTAACAAAAAAAAAATCCTATTTTAAAGAGGGCAGAGGATCTGAATAGATACTTTTCCTAAGAAGACATATAGATGGCCAACAGATACATTAAAAAATGCTCAACTTCATTAGCTATAAGCAAAATGTAAATCAAAACACAATGAGATACCAGTTCACACCTGTTAGAAGGGTCATCATCAATAAGACAAAGAAATAAGTGTTGGAGAGGATGTGGGCAAGAAAGAATCCTCAGACTTTGCTGGTGGGAATATAAATGTATACAGCCACCATGGAAAACAGTATACAGGTCCCTCAAAATTAAAAACAGAGCTATCATATGACCCAGCAATCCCTCTTTGGGTATCTTCCTGAAAAATGTGAAAACATTTATTAATACAGATATATGTACCCATATGTTCATTGCAGCATTATTCTTAATAGCACGACATGGAAATAACCTTATGACAGTGACTGAATAAAGATGATGTAGTACATACACATAATGGAATACTACTCAGACATAAAAAAAGATGAAATACTGCCATTTTTGACAACATAGATAGATCCTAAGAGTATCATGCTAAGTGAAATAAGTCAGATGATAAAGGACAAGAACCATATGAGTTCACTCATATCCTATATAATAAAAGCCTAATATGCTAAGTGTCGGGTCGACCAGTTAGCCGTTCAACCAATCTAAGTGTAATGTGCTAATGACACGCTAAGGCCACTCAACTACTACATGCACTGAGCACCAGGGGGCAGATGCTCCGACCAGTAGGTTAGCTTGCTGCTGGGGTCCAGCTGGGACTGAGCAAGACTGGCTGGACACGCCCTGGAGCCCTCCTGCAATCCCTCTCTGGCTGGCCAACCTCCCATGTCCATCCCCACCCCAATCGTGCACCAGTGGAGTCCCTTGGCCTGACCTTTGCCCTCTTGCTATCTGGAATCCCTTGGGGAATGTCGGAGTGTTGGTTTTGGCCTGATCCTGCAGGCCAGGCTGAGGGACCCCACTGGTGCATGAATTCATGCACTGGGCCTCTAGTGTGGGATAAAAAACAGAAAACAACAAATAAACAAACAAAAGTAAACTCAATAACAGACAACAGAGAGAAAGGAGAGGGGAGGAGGATGAAAAGGGAAAAGGAGGTCAAATAAATGGTGATAGGAGGAGACTAGATTTTGGATGGTGAGCACATAATGTAATATACAGATGATGTATTACAGAACTGTATGTCTGAAACATGTTATTAATCAATGTTACCCCCCAAAAAATTTTTTTAAAGTATACAGAGAGTTCCCTCAAACCCCTTGCCTCTTTATACACTCAGCCTACCCCACTTTCAACGACCCACATCAGTGTGGGACATGTGTTAGAATAAATGAATATGGACACGATTATTATCCAAGTATTATCTAAATATTCTTCACAACTTAATTGCCACAATTTCCTCGCATGATCATTCCAGGCCAGTTCACTGACTATGCTGTAACACAGCAAGAGACATGATTAGTTACTCCTGTCTCCAGGCCCCGGTCCCTTGGACATGTGCTCAGTCAAGAAGAGTGAGTGTTCTCCCTCTACTGACCTCCAAGACCTGGCGCAGGGATCACTCCTTTAGGAAAGAGTGTGTTTGACCTTGCAAGCCCACAGAGCCTTGGGCCATCTCTCGTAAGAGAGAAAGTCTAATAATTTACCTCACAGCAGCAGGAGTTTTTGCAAGGGGCTACTGTCAAGCAGAGAAGGCTTATTTGCAAGTGTTAATTCTGGAATGATTAGTGAACTTCGATTAGACAAGTTTGCTAAACATCAGTTAGTTTTACAGTTGTATCCCATTAACCATTATTTCTCCATTACAAATAAATCTCTTGTTGCTAGAAGAGTACTGAACCTAGTCCTTCCCACCCCAAACGATCCAACTAGTCTGTGATTTTTTCACTTTATGAAGCCTGAACATGTAACAAGCTACCCACCCCTTGCAGGCTGCAGGGTTGAGAAAGACGGTAGCCTTCTTCACTTGTGCATTGGGAGGAATGAGCTGATTGCCAAACACCTAAAAAGGGGAAAAAGACAAGTTGTAAGTCAATGTCTTTTTATTCAGTTAGTGTTCATATATTTTTTCGCTGCAAAAGAATTTACTCCCAGAAAATATATCTACTCCAGCACAAAAAAAATGTTCTCATGATTTCATATTCACAAAACACCATAAACAACAGCACAAACGTGTGCCATTATTTAATAAGCTGACTTTTATATTGTAGTAAACAAACCCTACTTTATCTTCTAGAAGTAACTTTTCTTTTCTCCATATGACATGGTTAGGTTTATTATAAATCCAAGATGAGTAAGACATCAATCTGTCAGAAGGGAATTTTAATCTACTTGTCTTAGATTTCAGAGTATAATCTTTTCCTACCTCAACTTATTATTAAAGCTTATTCATGAAGAATCTGTGTTATTAATTAATCTTCATATCTTTATATATGTATATCAAACAACCTAATATACTATCTGCATCCTCTTTGATGAGGATGATAACCTTGTATGATAACTAAATAGTATCATCTGTCACAGGGAAAGAAATATAAAATTAATGTTTACTAAGCACCTCATATTTGCCACTTTCACACATTCTTAGTTCTCAGAAATCTCAGAGGTCTTAAATATTCCCATTTTTATAGATTAGAAAAACAAGATACAGAAAGATTAACTCAAAGTCACATTGTTAATAAATTGCAGCCTAGAATTTACATCTATCTAACACCAAAACCCAAACTTTTCCTGCTTTATCAACTCTAAAGAGCAGATAGAGGATGAGGCCTAATGAAGAAGCAGAGGTGTAGGCCTGGGGACTGGAGGGAGCTACTGCTATTGTGTCTGGGTTAGACAAGAGCAACAAAAAGAATGGGAGGAAGAAAGCACCACAAAGGGCAAAATTCCAAGTCTTAGATGGTGGGGAGCAGGTCTGGGCCAAGAAGGCAGAATTCAACTATAGAAGTACAAAGTAAATATAAAGGAAAATGAAAGTTAATAAGATTTTTATTAAATAGCTGTCTCTAAATCCACCTCCACCCTGAAAGTCTACTGGAGATTTTTTTCTCATCAATGTCTATTTCCTGTTTAAAAACAAAATGAACTTTTTCTGAATAATTCAGGAAGATATACTATTTCTTTGTTAAAAATAATAAATTCTGGTACATTATAATTTCTACTGTTTTCACTCTTATGAATTAGACCTTAACATTTTGCTGCCAAATCTCCAAATATTATAATTTGTTCTTGTTCTACCCATATTATTTCTGTAATGTGGCCAGAAAGAATATAATGAACCAAGTACCCATGCCAACATGACTCCAGATCTATAGTTCCAGAGTATTCCTCTTTGTCTTGGCTACTAGTCTCCATAATTCTCACTTGCAACTCAAGTCTCAAGTTTACAGCTGGTAAATGAGTTTATGTAAGACTATAGTGAGCTAAATTTTTATGAGATAAAAAAGAATCATATATATTTTTTTTTTAAAGAATTTAGACTGTGAAGGGAAGGACATAAACAGGAAAAGTAACCACAGGCGGCTATAAGAATAAATTCACTTACTTCAGATAGAGGAGCTAAAAGTGTGCTGGGAAGTGGAGAATTAGAACAGTGGGAAGGGGTAAAATATATGAAGGGAGGAAACAACTCAAGGAACAGAGTCTCTGAAAAAGTAAGAGGGGATGGAATTCAGAACAGAGGTGGAGGCATCTACCTTAAGAAAGGGAGGAGCCTACGACCACTATTTTCTTAGAGAGGAAAAAGGTTCCTCGTCCCAAGGAACTTTCCAGTTGCTAATGACAAATTAGTTTGGGGTGGGGACCACCTCAACTTGAATATGAAGTTTGATATTCAAAACAACTAGAGTCATGTGAGATAAAACAAGCAAAGAAGTAATCAAATCCTGGAAATACAAATTTAGAACAATTAGATAACCACTAAAGAGTTTACTAATAGTACCTATTGCCACTGTTACTGTCATCCATGAAAACACTTCAGGGACAATCAGTACCTCACCACCCACGTCTCCTACTATAAGCATAATACCTTTTTGAATTCCTGTTTCTTTTTTGGTATTTCTGACATCACAAACTTAAATGACATAGAACAAAAGGGCAACTCAGTCATGGAAATTCACCTGCAAGGTAGAATGTATAAATTTGGAGGAAAGGGAAGACCAAAAATATGGTCTTTAACTTAAAAGGATTCACAAGCCAACTGTAACTAATACAGCGAGATGCATGAATATGTAAGTGCACCCTCTATGGGCTGGATAACAATGCACACGGTATGAATCAGTTGGGCTACAAGAGAAAGGCTTTAAAAATATGAACCAACAGTTTTATGAAGTTTGACTTGAAGTAACACCTGTTCTGAACTGATATCTTTTGGGGGTTATTAGGATCAGGGATGATTCAGGATGTCCCATCCTCAAGGACAATTCAGATGGGAACCAATTCCCATGCGCTCTCAGGACTAATCCAGAAGTAAACAAGTCTAAAGAGGTGGGCGCTAGAACTGCTCTTCACCAGATGGTCCATTTCCGCTGCTTCTGTTCAGAGTTGGCTCTTTGCCTGATTCGTCCCCTGACAGTGGGAAAAGCAGCCAGACCTCCCAGATGCAAGGCACTGCACAAGTGCCCTGAATAGCACCAGTTTTCTGCACGATGGAGACAAGGCAGTTCTAACTGTTCCACAGCAAATGGCATTACCTGAGCTTCTTGACAGGCTGCTCTCCTTAGCAGGTTATCACTATCAAAGTAAACAAAAGATAGTGAAAGTTAGCTTTAATAAGTAGGTCAAAATCCCAAATAAAACTTGTGGGGTTTTTTTTGTTTGTTTTTTTGTTTTTTTGTGTGGTTTTTTTTTTAGATATGTACAACCTTCCCTACAAAATACCCAAGTGAAAGTTTCTTCAAGACCTTATAACAAATCATGGCCATGTATGGAAAATACTTTTCTCCAAATGAAACACTGTGTTAATTATTTCAGTATAAGGCAGGCAGGTTAGTGCTCCCTAAAACATCCATCGTAATCCCCAGAACCAGGGGGCATGTTACCTTACAGATATGGTTAAGTTTAGGGGTGGAGCAGGGCAGGTTATTATGGATTGTGAAGGTGCGCCTAAGCTAATCACCAGAACCTCAGCTGGCTGTGATGGGCAGCAAATCCGAGTATGGAACAAAGTTCAGAGAGGCAACCTTGCTGGATTTGAAGTTGGACATCAGGGATGTGGATGCCTCCTAGAAGCTAGAAGGGCAAGGATATGGGTTCCTCCCTAGAGCCTCCAGGAGTGCAGCTCTTGCCGACACCTTGATTTGAGCCCAGTGAGACCTGTTGGATTCTAGCCCACAGAACTGTTAAAATAATAAATTGTGTTGGGTTAAATGACTAACTTTCATAATTGGTTAGGGCAGCCATAAAAAACTTCTGCACCTACCCTGCATTTTCTTACCAGTGGAAATCCTTAGGTTATTCACCAGAAATAAATCTGATGTTTAGTTGCTTCTGCTACTGTCTTACCTAATTCGCATTTTATATATATATATATATATATATATATATATATATATATATATATATATATATATATCACTGTTAAACATTCACTAATCATAAATGGAAAATTGTGGCATGGGGCAAAATTTTGGCTTCAAAAATAATAAAAACTATCAAAATATGTTCATCTATCTAACATCAAGGTCTTTAAAATGTGATTATTATATCGTAAGAGCATTTTAAATGGCTGATTGCTGCACTGGTGGCTCAGTTGGTTGGAGCATCATCCCTACATCAAAAAAATTGCGGATGCCCTAGCCCGTTTGGCTTAGTGGATAGAGTGTTGGCCTGTGAACTGAAAGGTCCCAGGTTCGATTCTGGTCAAGGGCACATGACTGAGTAGTGGGGGGCTTGCAGGAGGCAGCCAACCAATGATTCTCTCTCATCATTGATGTTTTTCTCTCTCCTTCTTCTCTCTCTCTCTCTCTCTCTCTCTCTCTCTCTCTCTCTCTCTCTCTCTATATATATATATATATATATATATATATATATTATTTATTTATTTATTTAAAGGTTGCAGATGGCCAAGAGACATATAAAAAAAGGTTCAACATCACCAATAATCAGAGAGATGAAAATTAAAATGACAATGAGGTATCACCTCACACTTGTAAGAGACATCTCTAATACATGTTGCTGGCCCTGTTCTTAATTAGGTTGAAGTTAAGAAAACAAGTACCCAGAAAGGGTGACCAATAAATAATTTATAGAAAAAATTAAGAGAAATGGGTATTTTACTTAAATTCTCTTTTCAGACCTTTTTCATAACATCAAAGTCCTCAAATTTTGCATTTTTACAGTAATTCAAATCTATTTTTGGTATTTAAGTATGAACTAAAAGACATTAAAATAAACCACCACTTGTTTTTTGCTACAGGTGCAGTCAAAGGCTGCCCAATGACGTTTCTCCCACAGCCTGACTGCAGAGCCAGTGTCAGGTTTCAGAGAGCATTCAGCTCCAATTAGGAAACACTAGCCAAGGGGAGGCATCAGTGCTGCCCATCTAACCTCAGATCCGTGTGCCCTTAAAACCACAATGACACCTAAAAGCGCACGCTGTGTAACCAAGACCTATGGGCACATAGGGACCCATTTGTGAAGTCTCACTCATAAAGACCATTATTGCCAGGCTCAGTCCCCAGTTGCCTGAGTGACACTGCTCCACAACCATGGGTGGCAAAGGGAGTTAGCCGTACAAGCTTCCTCTCCGCTCTCACCCAAGATCCACTGATATTCATGCAGTCCTCTCTCCAACCCTCATCCTTCTCCATCACAGCCCTTAGTGAATTACTCTAACATCAACAGATACAGGTACATATATACATATGTGTACACACAGACACACACACACACACACACACAAAGGAAAATTCAGGGTACAAACTAGTAACACATTTTAAAATAATTAACATGTCCACAACCTTTTATAGTTGACTTGATCCCTCACATTCATAATCTTTTATACAATGACAAGGTAAAATACCGAGTCCTCAGCAACCATGCATCACAGAATACAGCGAGGCTCCGTGTGCTAACCTGAGCATTGTGACCAGATCCCCCTGGACTGGAATCCCCAATCCAGCTTCCCCCCTCCCGAGGATACCGCTTCCAGCCTGGCCAACTGCTCCTCCTCCTACCTGCTTTGATGCCTTTTCTAGTACAGGGATTAACCTGTGCCTCCAATCTCTGATCCTACAAACATATCCTGAGGATTACGTTGTACAAGTCCTCTCTTCTTCTATAAAGCAGAGAATGCCTATCTCTATGTCCCTGTCCTTTCCCTAGCCGCCTCCTCCCTTTTCCGAGGGACAGGCCTCTGAAGGTTCCTGCTCCACAGGATCACAACAGAGACCATCTTCCTCCCGGTATTTCTGCCTCACTGATTCCTGTGGACCTAGCTGGCAAGAGAACAGTCCTAAATACTGACAAGAATATGGGCAAGCACCTTGGATCATGTTTTCCTCAATTCTTTTTCACTAGAAATAAAATTTTGATGGATAACTTGTAATTAAGAATATTACTAACGATGTCTCTCTTGAGCTTACCAACAACTTATTTTATCAGTGCTGACAAAATCAAAACTTTTCTGATAGTTAATTTGCTGAATTTTAATGTGTCAAATGGACTATGCTGTCAGTCTTATCTGTGAGAAAGCCAGAATATGTGTCAATTTAGATACTACAGAAAACCTCATTAAATCATACTTTTATTAAACATCAAAAATAGTGTTAACCACCTTGACCTTCCTCTGGGAATCAACCTGTTTCAAACATATTCTCAAAGAAAAAAGATTTCTCCCACTGAGATAATTCTGGTGGTCTGTAGCGAGCTCTGAAAACTATTTCAAGAAAAAAAATTCCAAAACTGTTCCCATAACAGCAGCATTGTTGGAATAAAAGAGAAAGTAAGTTAAAATTCACAGAGCAACTACCATGTACTGGGTCCAACAGCAGATGGTTTCATAAACCTTGAATCTCCGTAACAACCTGGCACCGAAGGCATCATATTCTCATTTTAACAGATGAAGAGGTGGAGGTCCAGAGAAGGAAAGGGACATGCCCAAGAGCACAGTGTTACTAAGTGGCAGAGCTGAAATCCAAGCCCATGCCAACCTAACTGATAGAAATGCTTCAGTGCATTTTCTTCATAATGTCAGACAATACCAGATGGGCAATGATCGTTTGGATGTATACTTTATAGGACATTTATTCATTTAATCACATTACTTATCGTCTTATCTAACCTAACTTTTAGATATACATTATTTAACATTTGTATAAGCTCTGGTGCATAAAGTTGCCCCAAATAATTGGTGAAGCAAACTCATTCAACACAAAGTGCCAGGTACAGTACAACAAACACGATTTGGTCCTGTCCTGAAGAAACTCTGGACCAAGTGACAAAGAACAGCTTTAGATAAAAAACCAGTGGTATAGAAAAGGCATGTTCTTGATAAATAATATGCCAGACACTATGCTAGGTGTCTGGGATATATTGGCAACTAAGCCCAACATTCCCCATCTCCATACAGCTTACTGTTTAGAAGAAAGGACAACTCAGCAGGCAATCATCATGTGATTTGACTTCCATCTGCTCCATAAAAGAGACACATTATAAAGGAAGTGACCCTGAAGTTGAGATCTAGGGGGAAAATCAAAAGTAACCAGGCAAAAATAGCAAGGAATTTAAATCTGGGCAGAGGAAGCAGCAGGTGAAAAGCACACAAGAGCTAGCACAGGACTAATGTGGGACCCTGCAGGCAGTGTGGGGCAGCTGGAGGCAGCAGCCCTGGGAGGGGCAGTGAGAGAAGGGGTTTGAGGAGTCAGGAGCCTTTTAAGCTACTTAAGGAATTTGGATTTTATCCTAAGGACCACAAAAAGCCATGGGAAGATCTTAAGAACTGATGTAATCAGCTTTACATTCATTCCTGAGGGATCATTCTGGTTGAGGTGTGAACATGGTCAAAGGAAGGCTATGTAGGGAGGACTCTTCCGGAACTGCAGGTCAGTAATAACTGCAATGATGATTGGAACCCGGAGCCTGGCAGCAGGGACAGTGTGAAGAGGGCAGATTCAGCAGTATTTAGGAGGTAAACTTAAGAGCTGGCTTGTGGAAATTAAAGGAAAGGGAGGGATCAAAGACAGTGCCCGAGTTTCTGCCTTGACCCATCTGACCAAAGGTGGTGCTCTTTCCAGAGATGAAATGCAGGAGGAGGTAGGCACAGGTCCAGAAGGAAGCAGCTGAGTTTAGCTATGGATCTGTTGACCTGAGAGAGTGAACAGACTTCAGGTGGAGGTGTTCAGGAGACAGCTGGAAACACACCTGGAAGTGCAGTCTGCCATCTTGACTGAAGATATACATGGTAAGAGGAGGGATGAGAGTGGATAAGATTGTACAAATAGGGTGAGTAGTAGAAGCAGCAGAAAGAGATTCTCTGGGCATTGGGACAGCTGTCAGAAAACAACAACTGAAGCCCAGGTAAACTGATATGGCACCTCATCTGAAAGCCAAAGGGAAAATGCGGTGGAACAGAGGAAAAGGCTAAGCACATTTTCCTAATCTCCCATCTGCCCCTTGATGCTGCCTCTATTCTCACAAACTGCATGTTTTGCTGTTCCTAAAAGACACAATGACTTACACATCCAAGGACTAACCCTTTTATCCCTCCATCTTTAAGAAATAGAAGGCCAAAC